GATGTATGAGGAGAGGGCCGATGATGACCAGCGGCCCAGCTGCTGGAGGGCAGAATGGGGGAGCCCCAGGGACGCGGCGCGCGTGGCGGCGCCTATCCGGAAGGAGTGGGCTGTGTAGAGATGGGGAGACAGGTTACAAAGCAGCAGTACGGACTTGAGTTGGGCTCTGAACCAGTTGGATGACATGGGAGGTTATCGGGGGTGAGAAATAACGGTCCGTTGAGATCTCCTTTCCGAGAGCGGAGGCGAGTGTAATGCGTCATGGATCTGTAGGGACAGGGAGAAGTGTCAGACCGAGCTATGACTATATTGCAAGCGCCTTTGCGTTTGGAATGCTTGAGGTGGAGGTTGAAGTAGTCGGGATAATATGACAGGTCGGAGAAGGCAATGTCTCGGGATGCATTAAAGGTGGCGTGAGAGTTTGTGAATTCGCTTATGCGTAAGAAGCCCATTTTCATGTAGGATGCAGCGGAGGAGAGAAGGTGAAGAGACGGAGGGACTAGACCAGGGCGAGGGATTCCGTGCAGGGGATCTGGCATGGCGATGGATTGGCAGAAGGGCAGAGGCGTCAGAACTCCTGGAATTTAGCGAGAGAGAGAGTCAGCAAGACAGTTAGGTGACGAGGGACGTGAAGAGCAGTGATGATAAATTGTTCAGGACTGAGAGCCATGTGATGCGTCTAAGGAGGGTGTGATTTGGGGAGAGGATGAACGACCTCTGTTAATTATTTCGATGACGTCGAGGTTGTCGCACGTCACGGAAATCCTTTTCCTATGCCACGTATGGTTCCGCAGCACGCAGGCTCCGGTCACGGGATATATCTCGTGGAGCGCGGAGGAGATGCTTCGAGGGAAAGCGTCGGGCCGGGGCCCGGCGAACCACTGGTCCTGGAAAAACCCCCAAAACCCACGGACGGGGCTGCGTCCGTGAAGAACCGCGGGGCATCTGAGACAGGATGACGTCACTGTAAAAAAAAGAGATACACCATCCCAGCGGCTCTGCAGACGGGACCGGAACGCCAGGTCGGAGCGGCGCCCCGCGTCCGGGCAGACAGCGTCATTGAGGGAGGAGACGGAGCCGGCGAGGGAGAGGAGTCTGGAATTAAAAGAACGACCTTGGGGAATTATACGGACGGCACAATTAAGATGCCCGAGGAGGTGAGATCAAGGACGCCTCGAAGTGACGGGAAGGCCAAGGCAGACCGGGAGAAAGCGCGGATGCGTTCGAGCTTGTCATAGAAACTGGTATAGCTGGAAGTACATTAAATTATAAAATTCAGAAGCATATATTAGTCTGTCACATCCATCCCACTGCACAGGAAACTATCAAACATTCACTAAAGATGTCAGAACTTCAGAGTCACTCAAAGCACACAGGTTTGTTGTGACAATAACCACGTCTTTAAACACACCGTGTCTGTCCACGAGATGATTCTGTTTGGAAGAGTGTTCCAAAGGTTTATGGTTTTATACGAGAAAGATCGTGGACCAAACGTGGTTCTACATCTGAGAAGTCTGCTCTGTCCTGGAGGTCGACCCTGGATCCAACAACTCTCTAAACTCAGGGTCACACATCTTCTCAAAGGGGAGCAGCGTGTGGTGAATTATTTTGAACAGAGTAAAACATTTGATTGAATTGAAGGTTTTCAAAATGTTTAGTGCTCTTTTTATAATGATTTGAGTGATTATAAAGAAGTTTTGCATCAGCTGGACTTGACGTACAGAAGATGTAAAACAGTACTTTAACATTTAAGTGTCGCAATAATGTGGAATTTTGGCCCAAATATTGCAATACTTTCAAATCCTCACATTTACGTTTGCAGAAAGCAAACATAAATGCATGTTTTATCTGTCTCTCTGCAAAGCTGCTCCCACCTAAAGCAATGCACGCTAATTGCAGCTAGAGTTCACGGTACTGCATCTTAAATCCAAACGGGCCGAGAGGAGATTTCTTCTGGTGTTGTGGTTCTTTGGAAGTAGAAGCTCTTCACGACTACAGCGTAAGACCAGGAGAACCAGGACCGTGTGAAAGTCATAAGTTAGAGATCTGGGTACAACACAGTTTTTTGTGGTTGATGTGATTCTGAATGATCAAAGTTTGAATGATGTAAGGTAACTATGTTTTGGTTCTTTTGAAAGACAAGTTTAGATGTATTACCTTGTTAACAGGTCAAGCAGGCAGGTGACAGTTCTGACGATGGCTCGCAGCTCTGCAGCGGATTTAATAATATATATATTTAAGACATGGCCCCAGGGCCGCAAGTTATGGCTGCACTGTGACATCACCCTCAGAGCAGTTTTCTACCATAGAACTAAAGCATTGTCCATAAATGACAAATTAATGTCTTATCATTTTTAAGGGCCAAAAATAATACATGCTATTTCTTCTTTAAAGGACACATCTTAAATATGAACATCTCTTTAGACCTGGGGTGGTTTTTAGACCTGGGGTGGTTTTTAGACCTGGGGTAGTTTTTAGACCTGGGGTGGTTTTAGACCTGGGGTGGTTTTTAGACCTGGGGTGGTTTTTAGACCTGGGGTAGTTTTTAGACTTGGGGTAGTTTTTAGACCTGGGGTAGTTTTTTTAGACCTGGGGTGGTTTTTGAGGTCATCAGGAGCTAATATCAGCAACTTCTGGCACAAACATCTCGCCCGCAGATTCTGTCTGAAACAACTTTATCAGATTTTGTGGACAGCGCTTTTTATTGCCTCCAAATTATTATTATTATCATTAATATAAATCAATTCTCCTGTGGAAATATGTTCTTTTCTTTCACCTCTAGGTGGGTGTGTTGCTTTTTCTCGGCGTCTCTTACTCCATCTTTCATACATTTATATTACATATTATTTATGTCTCAAGGGCAACATGAAAACAGGTAATGCTGAAGGTGTCTTATTTCATTTTAACAGATGATTTTAGTCAAATTAGAGACTTTAATTTTAGCCACTTGCTTGTTTCCACGGAGATGTCATCTTTCAGGAAACACAACCATATTTGTGGGTTGTTACAGGTAAAATCATTTAATTATTTAGTTTTTATATTATATGTAATATTATATTATGTTATTATATTATTATACATATTGATTGATTAGAACACAGTATTTAGAGCACAAATGACTCAAAAACAATAATACGTATCCTTAAAGATGGTCAACCATAAAATGGAATCCATGTTTCCAGTTCCAGGCTCTCGAACAGTTTGGTTTTGTCCGAAAAGGACCACCCTCACTCAGCCAATCAGCTCTCAGCCCCGATAATGACTCACAGGGATCTTTCTTAAACAAACAATAACATTTGTTCTTGATGTGGTCGGATTTTCTCATATTTTACTTTTAAGACTATTCCAGTTGGGACAAAAACTTGAATTATTTATGACCAACAAGGTTGGAGAGCTGAATGAACCCACACTGTGGGACTGGACTCATGACAGATTAGAGGAGACGGATAGATAGATAGATTGATTGATTGATTTGATTGATTGATTGATTGATAATAAAAAGTCTAAATCCTTCAGGAGCTTCATGGGAAGCACTGGCTCTGGAGCTTTAGGGCCTGTGATGTTTCCACACCACTGCAAAAAGATTTAAAATCTCTTTGACTAAGTTAAAATCTATGTTTTTGTTTAGCCCCAAATCACAACAGCCATTGTCTTAGAAGACTTTACAAAGTTGTTGATTCACCAACAGCAGATCAGAAAATCAAACAGTTGAACCACAGGAAATACAATAATAATAATGAGGTGATTGACGACCAATGTTCATAAATGTAAATAAATGTGATACGCAAAATACTTTAAATGACTTTTAGTGACTCTCCTGCATCGGAAAGGAACAACAACAAAACTCAAAAACAGAGAAACTTTGGTGAGGTTGATGATGAGAGGAGGAGAATGTGCGGCGCGGAAAGGAAATTCCACAGTAAAGAAGCTCGGAGCTAAACGCTTTGCCTCCGACTGTGTTTTTTGATCCTTCAGGAACCATCAATAGTCGCAGAGCTCGGTTTGGTTGATATGACACTAATGTGTCTTGGAGGTAGGACGAAGCCATAGCATTTATGTTCTTGTATGTTAAAAGAACTTTAAATTTGATTCCATGCTCCACAGGAAGACACTGGAGTTGTGTTCTCTCCTTCTGGTGCCTGTTAAGATCCGTGCTGCTGTATTTTGGACAAGCTGGACGCTCTTTATAGAGGATTTAGGGAATGCTGCCAGCAGAGGGCGTCACAGTAGTTGAGCCTTGAGGTGACAAATGCGTGCATCTGTTTTTTTCGGAATCACATTTAGGAAGGATATTCCAAATGTTAGATATGTTGTACAGGTGGAAATATGTGGCTTTAGTTGATTGGTTTATTTGGGCTCTGAGGGAGAATACTTGATAAAGAAATCATTGGATTCATTGAACAATGACTCCAAGATTTATTACATCTTATCTTTACCTTATCTTTTCCAGGTTGAGGAGTAGATAGTTTAGGGTCATCCCTGTTTTTTAGGTCTTTTATGCAGTCACTAAACTAACGGATCTGTCTGGTTTAATTTCATAGACAGATAAAGCTGTATGTCATCTGCATAGCAGTGGAAGTTAAAAGTAGAATCGGGCCGAGTATCGATCCTTGTGGCACACCCAGTTTTGCTGTAGAATAGGGCGAGGAGTTTTGGTTCAAATTAGCAAACTGATACCGATCCGATAAATAAGATTTAAACCAGCCAAGGGCTGTTTCTCTGAGTGATGTCACATCCTATTCTCTGCAGTAGAATGTTGTGGTCTATTGTGTCAAATGCAGCGCTGAGGTCACCGGAAGTGACATACTGCATAATGGACCCCCTCCAAGAGGAGATGCAGCATCTTAAAGGGGTTTCCATGTTATTAATCTCTCTAAAAACAGGTTAAACTGTTGATCTCAGTCTATACTCTGACTTTCCAAACAGCACATTTAGACTTGTTTGAATAACATATTGGACGTCTGTGTTTCCCCTGTGTTTCCCCTGTCCTCTGCAGCCTCATGTACGGGATGAGCTCGTCGTACCCAGACTCGGAGGGGCCCGGCTTCAGCGGCCCACAGCTGGGACGCAGAGGTCCTGGGGCAGCCTGGACTCCGACAGGACGACCCCTGGGTAAGATCCACCTGATCACTCCTCCCTGTCCATCAATAATGAACCACAAATACTCAAGGGGTAACTATGCAATTCAAAAGAATGTATGTTCCTAAGTGAACGCTTGCAGGGTATATAATAGTTAAATAGTTGAAACTGAATATTGTCAGACATAAAGCCCATTAGCCCATTTATTTAGTCTGATTTCCATATCTCCTAGTATTATAGCTGCCAGTTGATTATCCTGGTATCAAAAGTTTTCTGCCATGGAGCACATCAGGACGTGCCATGTGTTCGTGAAACAAGCCGGACAAGGAAAAGTGGGAAGTAACAACTTTTTCTGTATCCACATGGCCGCTCACAAACAAAAATGTCATAAAACAAAACACCTGAGACGTCCTTTCCTAGTAAAATTACTTTAATGCTTTTACTTCTAACAACGTCTTTGTTGCTATGGCTAGCGCAGAATGTGTCGTTCAGCCTTAACTTCTCGTTGGATCATTTGTATCAAAGAAGCAATTGGCATGGGGGCATCCAGTTTACTGATTCCATACCCACTTTCTGATAGATAGGCATACAGAGTACATAGCAAGGGCCAATTTAACTATTCAACATTTAAATAGAGCAAAATACAGATTCCCAAAGACATCAGTCCTTCTCTAGCTTCTAACCCTTATTCATTGATCCTCACTCATGTGTCAGGGTTTAAGTGTCACTGTCTCCTGGTGAAGGTTTGTCTATGATGGATCTTCCAGGCGTGTCCGGCCTCTTGGACAGCAGATCCACAGGTCCAGAAGCCTCCCTCTCACACCGGCTGTCAGCCATGGATTCACACATGTCACAGTTTGGAGGGCCCTTCTGGCAAAATGGTGAGTAAAAGGAGGCTTTGCAAACATTTCTTTGAGATAATGAAGAACTGGTATATTAGGACTGATTCATCCGGATTTCTGAATGTGGAGCATTGGACGAGCTCTTTACATCAGATACTTGAGGATCATCTGTCCACATGTGAGCCAACCATACTAGAGCGAACAGCAAACAATCAACTTCTCTGTTGGCTCTTGTTGGCCCAGGTTAACTGAGAACTTGCTGCTATAGAGTCTAGACCAGAGGTGTCAAAGTGATCCTCAAAGGGCCAGTGTGGCTGCAGGTTTTAGTTCCAATCCAAGCAGGAGGGCACCACACTCCACCCATTTTCTCAAATCTTCTTGTTAAAACTGGATTCATCTGAGGAAATGGGTGGAGTCTGGTGTGGTCTGACTTAGGTTGCAACTAAAATCTGCATCCACACTGGCACTGGATCAGTTTGACACCGTGGATGTCTTGTGAGTCACTGCTTGTGGTGTTTTTTTCCGCTTGTGCACCTACTGTAGCAGCTGAAGCTTGCCCATTGCACCTGAAAGCACAGCACACTTGCAAATCCGTGCCTCTGGTGGTGAAGGCTGGAGAGGAAATGGCTCAGATAGGCAGCCTAGGAAGATGCCTAAGCTCCTGTCAGTCTTTAACAGAGCAGATGTGGCTACAGTGGTGATTTACCATCACAGTATCAGAATCAGAATTATTTTTATTGCCATTGCAAGTAACAGGAAGTCACAAACTAGGAATTTCTTTTCAAGTTTGTGACTAGAAAACACACAGGAACATTCTGTTTCTAATGTAGTATTTGCAGTGACACAATGAATAGTGTCTGCTTTATTTCTTGCGGAGTGGCCAATGGGGGTGCTAACTATGCTTTGTCTTTTTTCAGGGGCACACTCTGGCTCTGGCTACTCCCCCTCAATGTCCGGTCTACCTGCATATCAGCACCCAAGCTCCTTCCCTGGAAGACCCCTCACTCACTCCTTTCCCCTATCAGACTCGGCTCCATTTAGCCCTGGTTTGTTGACCTCTCATGATTATCTCCTGCACATGAAATCCAACCCATCCAGCCTGGCTTTTGGCCAAGTCCTGTCCTCCCAGGAGGCCCTCTTCAGGAGATCTCAAGAGTCCCAAATCCAATCCAAACCTCACCTTTCCTCTCCACGGATGGACCTGATGTCAGCGCAGCTCCACAGCCAGTCTGCCCAGCTGTACAATGCCTCTTCATTCTCATCAACTCCTCACCCTCAACCTCCACAACATAGGGACATTTCTGCACAAGACACAATGATGAAGCGCTACCAAAGCATACAGCAAGGCCATTCCACACCAATGCCACAACAACAACAGCAGTATCTTACCTGTGCCAAGTCACCAGACCCCCGACAAAGAGCGCTAGAACAGCAAGTTGCAGACATCAAGCCCTCACTGCGGATGAATACCCAAGCATACTCTCCATACGCATCTTCTGAGGAAACAGGCACTGGCTACTCCTCCTTAGAATCCTCTTCTTTCTTGTCCTACGCCCAGAACACGCCACCGTCAGTTTCTTCGTTCTCCCACAGCAGCAGCAGCGCGCTATCAGCGCCATCTCACCAACGCACCCTGGATTCTTCTACGGTTTCATCAATGGCCCTGTCTGAACCATCAAACCAATGCCCAATGCCCTCTATGTCCTCCCTGAACTCCCCATGCGCTCCAAAATCTCGAAGTCAGATAAATCAGAGCCCTCCGATCTACCAAAGCCGGGCATTCTCTCCAAAACAGCCAACCCCCACACACCCAACGTACTCCAGCCCACGCTACAGGCTTCCGCTTTCCCAGAATCTTGGCTTTAGTCGAGGTCCAGGAGGATCCATTTTTAGTGACTCGAATCAAGACCTAGGTTCACTGAAAAGATCAAACAGTGGCGAATATGGAAGTCCTACATACTCATCAGCCAACAGACTGGCAGCTCATGGTGGGGATACACCTGCAGCAGAGAGTGTGGAAACGAGTCAAGATGGAAACGCAAGCCCGTACATTCCAAAGTGCAGATTGTCCCCTTCCTTGAAAGCCGACGTCTATTCTGGTTTAACGTCCCCCAAACCAACTCATTCCTCCGGTGGTTCACAAGCTGGGAAATGCTCTTCAATGTTTGATTCTAAAAACAGTGAGGAATTACGTGTTGAGTCTTTGCTTCAAGATCAAAGCTCTAGAGGCCATCTTGCACAGGATTATCAACATCAGTACTTGGGAACCAACTTGCCAAAAGAAAGAGCTGATGCTTATGCTGGACACGAACCTTCAACTGCTCCTCAGATGGACTTCCGAACCAATACGCCCGATAGAACGCCAAAGTCAACTGGCGCAGCGATTAGTGAGGCCAAACAGTCACCTCTTGGCACTAACCACTCAGCTGACACAGCCTCACACCCAATGGGCTCTCTGGTAAACTTTGCAATGGGCAGTCCGTGTGCTCCATATGGTTCATTTATGAGTAGCACTAAAGAGATACCACCAACCAACCGTAGTGAAGTGTCCCTGCCATCATCTGAACTCTCTGCTCAAGCCTGCATGCTGCAAACAGATCTCTCTCCCGTGGGAAATGCCAAGACTGATCTTTTGAAACCATTTCCAGACAAGCAGACAGGTGCAGTACACAGCAGGGCCCAGTTAGAGGCATACACTCAGTCGTCCAAACTCCAGCAGCTACATGTCCCATCACAGACTGTCGAACCCCAGTACAGTCCCGGAGTGCAACAGCGAGATCAGTCACGATACACTCCCAACCCGGTGCCTTCCCAGGACTTACTGGACCAGTCTCTGCCTCTCTATGACAACAGGGGAAGTGGTGGGGCAATGGTCCGTTCTGAGGTTGGGATGAATGTGGATGGTAGGGAGCAAGGGAGTGGAGGACAAACCCTGTGGAACCCCAGCTCCAAACAAGACATGCACCGCCTCAACCAAACACCCGCTCTCCAAGAACCCCAGCAGCAGCAGCAGCAGCAAAGAACGCACACGCCCAGTCACCTCCCGCAGCCCCAGTTAGATCAGCGTGTCGGAATGGCAACAGACACCGGCAATGACAAGCAGCATTTTGTCCCGTCGGCCTGCTTTTCAGAACCGTTTGTACATAGTGAAGATCAGTCTTTCTTTCCGACAATGGATGACATATTCTGTTCATCAGACCACAATACAAGTTGTGCTGGGGACTCCGGAACGTACATGCCAGAGCAGGAGTGCCATTCCCAGAGTCAACTCCAGGAGCATGGCAGTCTTAAAGGATCTGGTGTTAGGCAGGGTTTTGATATGTTCAGTCACCAGTCAGAAGAACGTTACGCACAGTTCTGTCAACAAAACCTTCAACAAAGTGATAACAGCTATTCAGACTTTATGCCAGTAAAGACTCCTGCCACTCCCTCTTCTATAAATGCAGAGCAACTCGGCCTCATGCAGTCTCAAAGCCTCGGTTCAAGCACCCCAGGCCTGACATCACCCGTCTATTCTTCACCCCAACCAAAAAAGCTCTTGAAGACCAGTTTCCCTTCACTCTTACACCGGCAGGAGTCACAAGTGCAGTCCAAGAAGCACTACGCACAGGAGTACGAGTTTGAAGACGAGGACAAAGCTGACGTCCCAGCTGACATTCGCCTTAATAGTAGGCGCTTTTCGGACGTGCTCCCCGACTTGGTCTCTAGCTGCCGGCGAGGTGGAGGCTCCATGAACAGCTCTAGTCCCATGATGGATATGGATTATTGCTACTCAAGCTATAACTCCCTCACTCCACCGCAAACCCCTTGCTTGGACGGCCCAAGAAAAAGAGGCAGAAAACCTACAAAACCAAAACGCGACGGCCCTCCCAGGCCCAGGGGACGGCCTCGCATACGACCATTACCAGAACCGTCCGTATTCCGCGGTCAAAGTCGAGGGGCCGGAGGAAGGGGCAGGGGGCGGGGTCGTGGACGGGGCCGAGGAAGAGGGAAAAGAGATGACGGAATTCAAGGTTTTGACAAACTACCAAACATGCCGTATCATTGCGAACAGTATGCAACCCCACAGTTCATGCAGCCTCAGCACAGATATGACCCAGGCCCCACCCCACTGTTGCCCCCACCGCCCAGCCCGCTTCAGCTTGCTTCACAACAACCGCAGCCCTACATGCAGCCGCACCATCATATCCAGCAATCATATCAACAGCTTCAACCACCTGAGGAGCCCGGCAAGGTAAAGACTCTGCTTGTTAGGCTTTTCCCATCTGAAGAAGACTTAATGATACCTACTTCATTTAGGATCACCTACGTTGCAAAACTATTCTAGAAATGTTTTAATTTTAATTCAGTCAGTGTCGTTTTAAAGTGAGCGTGTTTCAGACTCTCCCACAGTGAAATAGCAATCTGGCTTAGAAAGTTATTACACAGAAAATATTGTATTTGCCATAAAAAAAGCACTGAACTTTAATAATTAGAGAGGATACATCTATACCAGACTATGGAACTTTTAAACAAGACATTACAATTTTCTGTGAGAAATATCTAGTTATAGATTTTCAACCAGAAACACAATTTCTCAACACATTCATAGTGGGCCTAGTAGTACAAAGATAAGAGTCACTTTGCCAGTATACTTTAGTATGATAATGTGACTCTCCCTCTTTTTCACAGATGGGCTTTTCATCCCCAACAATGCCTCCGTCAGATTCCCGGCTGAGAGCGGAGTCTTTCCCAGGCCCTGAACTGGCTCTGTCTGATGGGTTAGGCGCCTCAGCTCCGTTTTTGGGTCTCAGTCCCGGACCCAGCACCACTCCAGACTACACCCGCAACGATCCACAGCAGATGCAAGATCACATACTTCCATCTGAGCCCACAGAGGTAATGTGTGCGCCCATAACTTCCTTCTGGTCACCAACGTCCAGAGATTGCGGACCGCTTATGGAAAGGCTTCCAACCACTTACACCACTCTTGTCCTACTTAGCATGTGGGTCAAATAGCCAGATAAACAATACCCAATGCAAGGGTGTTTATCCCCGTGCACTTAAAGGCCTCTGCTTGTCCAGCTGCATGAGTGGTCGGAGTGATTTGGGGACAAAATCCAAAATAAGTCCAGCGTTTTGTGCAATCCAGACACTCTATACATGTAAACAACTGGAATCCAACTATATTTTGTGTATTCGTCTGTTTCAGGTTGCAATGAATAAGGAAAATTTTGATTTACTTAATTGTGACAGCTGGGCGGGAGTGGACAAGTTTCCAAGTCTTGTGAGTATTTTCCCATAGATTTCTTACACTGTATATTTGAATCAATCAATCTGTAACCGTTTGTTGGAGTTTACTCACTGCTCAGGACTGTAGAGGAGCTGAGCAGCTCTTTCAGTGGAAGACTGTGGCACCCTCAGTGCAAGCACTACCGCAGCCCTCATCCACACCACTTTCAGACTGTACAATAAGTCACTTTATGTTACTTTTATCACAATGCTACTAGTACTGAATGTACTTGTCTCAGCCCCAGTTCAATGGAAAAATAAATGCACAGCAGAGATCCCAACAGCAAACAACTCTTAGTTTGCTGTTGGGATCAAGTTTATTTTCACAAATGGGAAATCCTCACATTGTTTATCCATCACATTTTTCAGGCTTAGCCATTTTGGTAGTTAACAGGATAATCATGATCAACCCTACTAAGAACACATGTTTGTTTATTTTGCTCGTTGCTAGATACAATGGAATGGAATTATAGAGAAAGGGTGGTTATAAGTTCCTCTCTTTTGAAAAGGAAGTCAAATAACCAAAATGTTGATCTAGAAGTGTGCACTTATGTTTATTTATACATCCAAAAAGCATGTCTCCTTAAAATCACCATTCTTTTTATAGGACGATGAGAAGACGTTTGACCTTAAGCCAGATGTGGTGGGCTCATTCCTGGATTTCCTTAAAACCGACAACAAGCAGCCGAGCCCGGAGGCCACAGAGAGTCGGCCAGAGCTGTCCTTGGACTGCACCCCTTCCCCTTCTCCTTCACAGCTCAACTCCGGCGAGGTGGAGAACAAAGCCAGCCCACAGTTAGACCCTGAGCTGAACGGGAACCTAGAAGCCCTGCCCTCCTTCTCTTCAGACGAGGAGGACTGCGTGGGCAAGAACGGAGACCTCCAGCAGAGTATCACCTGCGCCATCTCAACACTCTACGACAACCCGCGCACACAACCTCAGCCTGCCGCAGAACCCAACGCTTCAGACCAGAGCGCGTCCCCGATTGATCAGCAAGAAACACAAGGAATGGAAGCACCGCAGAGACATCACAGAGTGTCTGATGAGTTAGATGATGAAGGGCTGGAAAACTCAAAGGAAGAACCCACGACAGAGAGAAGTGAGCTGGTGTCTCGTGAAGAAGAGGAAAGAGTGGGTAGAGAAGAAGAGGACAGAGCTGACGAGCCAATGCACCAAGACGTTGTTGAACCTCAGTGTCCTACAGAGCAGCAACAGAGCACTCTAGAGATGGAACAAGGTAACCCCATAACAGGGTTCATTTTATCATAGGTCACCAGAGCTGTCTTAAAGGTATATAGGAGGATATTCCCAAATTCTAAGAAATGACCGCCCTCTCCACTTTTTGAACCAAACTCGCTGGTCTTATTTGACGAGCACATTTCACCAGAATGATTGACAATTGGGAGAACCAATAGTCTTGATGATCCACCCGGAAGTAGAAAATCCTTCTATATACCTTTAAGTCTTGGGACTCTAAGGGTGTATTTGGTCTGCTTCTTTGTGTTCACTGGTACCCTTTTTTCCCAAGTGAACCAGACCAGTTTAAGTGAACCAGACCAACATGAGTGAAAAAACCTTATTGCAGGCCAAATGTCTTATTTCTAAATCCTTTGCTTTGCATTGCCTTTCTTTCAAGTAGTCACTGAACAGATGCATCAATTGTAGATCTCAAAGGTGAAATAAAACTCTCATTTATTTTAATCCTCCCAGAGTTTTCCCAAAAACATCTTAAAGAACCATGCTTCTGACGAAAGTTACCGCATGACTGAGTTGCGTCTTCCCTGCCTCTTTATCTCTCCTTTTCTAAAACCCTACGGAAGGAATGAATGGGAATTAATGTCGGACCACATAACAAACACTATTTTCCACATACAATCTAGGCATAAGCCTGACTTGTTTACAGGGTTCTACCGTGGCTGGGCTGCTGTGGATACTACTTTTCTCATTGGAAATGGAAATGATTTGTATCTCTTCCATTTATTGTACATGAAACACACATATGTCTCAAGTCAAAGGGCTCGTAAAGGGCAAGTTAAATCCTCCCCTCTTCTGAGTGGAGTATTGTTGACTAAAACGGCGAGAAAAATTTAACACTCCTATTTTTGTTGACTAAAATGAAACAGAAACCTTTGCCACTAACTTCAACAAACCCTCCTGGATGTCCACCTCCATCATGCTTGTCTTTCAGAAGCTGTGCCCGAGCGTCCACCCTCATCGTTGCCCCCGTCGCCTGTGCCTGTAGAATGCAGCTCTGATCCTCCCGAGTCGTGCTCGGAACCTCGCCATGCTCCACCGCTGTTAGACCACCCGACCCCTCCACCAAACCCCAACACGCAGCCCTGCACCCCTCCACCCCCAGCGCATGTGGAGCACACCCGGGAGCTGGACGTGCCTTCTCCCCCTTCGCCCACTTCATCCTCCACGCCTCCACCAACACCCCCCACCCCGGAGGAGGTCCAGGCTCCACAGAGGCTCACGTCTCTGCACCTGGCCAAGAAGCAGGCCAGTGCAGCCATCGCAGGGGAGAGCGAAGAGGAGGCCAGCGAGAGTGAGGGAGAGGGCATCTTCCGCGAACGTGACGAGTTTGTGGTGCGCACTGAAGACATTGGATGCTTAAAGGTTTGTCAAATAGTCTACTGTTCACTGGATCTAATATGGACACTATTAAACTACATGTTTTTATTATCAGATGGCATTGCAGACAGGCAGGGAACCGCCACCTATCTGGAGAGTACAGAAGGCCTTGCTCCAAAAGTTTAGTCCAGAGATTAAAGATGGTCAGAGGCAATATGGTGCCACCAGTAATGTACGCATGGTTCCTTCTTATCCTGTTATGAACCCTCATGCCATAAATCATTTCCTTCATTCGAGACGCATGAATGAACTGCTGGCAGTGTGTCAGAAAAACTGGATGAATAATTTATATCCTAAACCTGAGCATGATTTTGTTCTTTTAAAATGATGCAAGTCATGGTCATGTCCATCACAGGCAGCATGTGAACTCAGTCATGTGCATGTGGCATGTGGCACATCACCATTGGGAATGACCAAGTCCATAATCTCCCATCATAATAGATTTCATAATTTAAGGGTTGTCTAGTTAGGCAAAGCTACATACATTTATTTGTATAGCACGATTCATAAATAAGGCAACTCAATGAAAGGAAAGGAACGGCAGCAAACACATAATACTAATCCTCCGCTTGAAGCCCCACAACACTGTAGTGGGTAGATGCTGGTGGATGGAGCTTTTACTGCAGTCATTTTCAACAGACGTCTGTCTTTTTGGATATATTTTGCTGACCATAAAACTGACAGAGATAAAGGTAAAACTAATTATGACCACTTTTGTGGCAACGATAGTAAAAACTACAATGCAATTTAGTGAAGGGTTTAACCAATCACAGAAGTGGGCGCCCATTCAATATGGGCTTGTGTGCAACTTACCAGACTTCACACTGCTATGGGCTTTGTAGGCTTGTTTACCAACGGATGGCTGTCTAAAACACTTACTCATGATCCAGGCTGTATTTGTATGTGCAGAGTTCCAAAGACGTCATAGGATTTCTGCTCCCAAATTTGGGATGGATCATGCATCACATTCTTCTCATGGCTGTTTGCCATTACTCCTTTCACTTGGTTTCCTCCCCTGGGAGTCTATGAAATGCAGCATGACAGTCCTTCGTCTGTGTGCACAGCCCACAGCACTCTGTGCATTAATCTGCTAATATGTTATGGGTGCCTCAATCCATTCAATAAATCTGTTAAAATAAACCTGGTTATTGTTGAAGCCCAGTATTTAATGTAATGGAAGGTTAAACAATAATAGCATAAAAATACTTCATCTTGGCTCTATTTGTGGAGTCACACAAGAGTGAAATGAAGAAGTTGCTCCCCCAGGGGTGGCATGAGGGGGCCCCTCAGAGAATGTTCAAGTACTGTCCAAGTTGTTGTCCCAGGATCAATGTTTCATCGGGTTATGGTAAGAGGAGGGATAGGAGTCAGGGGTTAGGGGAAAGGTTTAGGGTAGGAGTCCAGGATCAACCAGATCATGCAGCTCAGCTTTGTGGGCGATGTTGGTCATGATGATGTCATGGTTATGTTCATATGACATCACAACATTTTACTGAGCCAATAGTTTTGTGGTGGAGAGCAGCTTCTTGGTAACTCTGTAAATCCTGGGCCAATCCACATGATATAAATCTTTCACATAGTTCTGTATCTTCTTTTTCGGTGCATATCAAAATTCTATGCATATTGTGGCACCACCTGCAGATGAAAGCCAGATATTGTCAAACCCCTGAAACTAAGCAGGGCATAGCCTGGTCAGTCCTTTGATGGGAGACCTCTGGGAACATCAGTTGCCACAGTGGGGCAGCTGCTGTAAAGTGCCAAATTACTGTTGTGTCCTCAGGCAAGACACTTCACCCACATTTCCTACAATGAGTCCGGTGTGTGTGTGTGTGTGAATGGTTGGTGGTGGTCGGAGGGGCAGATGGCACGGACCTGTTGCTGGCTTCTGTCAGTGTGCCCCAGGGCAGCTGTGGCTAGATTGGTAGTTTATCACCACCGTGATGACATGTGAAGCGTCTTTGAGTGTCAAAAAAGGGCTGTACAAAAAAATCATGATATCAGCTATGATCTAACTATTTTCTCTTTGTGAATCTTATCACTATCAAATAATTAGATCTGGGAAAAAATTTTCTTTTTCAACATTTCATTCAAAAATGGCTTCTTTCCCATAGAGTTGTAGTGACCCCTGCCCGGAATACTGAAATAGAGTTCTACATCATGAACTCAACCTATTGCAAACTGTTCTTTGTCAGGGAACGGACAAGGCTGTCTACTCTCTCCACTGTTATTGAGCTTAGATTCATAACCTACTGTATGTAACTGCCAGCTCTAAAGTTATTTGTGTGGATAGAAATAGTCTTTTGATTGCATATGCTGATGTCTCTCTGGGATCTGGAGCCAGGACAGACAAAAACGACCACAACCAATCTTCCATAGCATGTTGTTCATTCCACCTTGCATTCAAAAGAATGGCTTTAACGCAGTGCACATTTTATTCACATTTCTTTGTTCCTTTCAGTATCTGGGATACTTTGGTGATGCCAAAATACAATACCAAAGATTGTATGTGAAGTTTCTGGAGAACATCAACAAAAAAGACTATGTCAGGGTGTGCTCCCGCAAACCGTGGCACCGGGCCTCACTGACTGTCAGGTAAGCACAGCCAGGGTTGGTGATGTCTTCCAATCAGTGACATATTCAAAACGGAAAAATAAAAAGGAAATAGGAAATATAACTATGTGTAGTACAAAGGTATGTAACAGAACAATCTGAATTCAAGTTAATACAAATGTTAGATATTCTCTCGCACAATAGACAATGAATCATCAACTGTAATGACAGATTTTTTCGAACTTTCTTACAATCAACCACAGACGCCAGTCACTCCACAACCACCTGAGCTCGAGCCATCCGCAGTTCCCCCTTCCAAGCGTCCCTGCAGAGGATGAGAGGGCAGCGAGAGACAGGAGGGAGGCGGAACGAAAGAGGGAGCGCAGGGACAACGAGAGGAGGAGAGAACGAAGGGAAGCCCCAGGAGACAAATGCAGCAAAAGCACAGAGCAAGACGACAGTCGAGACAAAGACATGCCTGTGCTGAAGCGGGAGCAGACCAGGTGCATAGAAACTCCCAAGGTCTCTGAGAAGGCACCAGAAAAGATCTCAGAGAAGACACCAGAAAAAGTCTTGATGAACACACCAGAAAAAAGGTCAGAGAAGACACTGGAAAAAGTGTCTGAGAAGGTCCCAGAGAAGGTCCTGGAGAAGGTGCCAGACAGGGTCCCAGAGAAGGTCATAGATGTCAGGAGTAGCAGAGGGGACCCCGAGCCAGTCGAGCCCCCACTGAAGAGGAGCAGGGCCTGTGTGGAGCAGAGGTCTTCTTCTTCGGAGTCAGAAGACAGCGACGAGGACTCGCACACGGCCTGTGAGTACATGAAAATCACATGTGACTTACGTAGATGAGATAAGAGACTCCTTTATTGGCTCTCATAGAAGAAATGTGTGTTGGGACAGAGGTGCACAATGCTTTACACTCACCACAGTAGACACTAAACAGACCTAAGTAGGCACAGGGCAGCACCATCAGAGACCTCTAGGACCTCAGAAAAACAGTTGATAACAAGACATCAAGACAGAGAGCACCCACAATCATTCAATACTTTCACTTCAGTAAACCTAAAGAGCATTTTTTCTTTATCGTATGTTCACTAGTCCTGAAATGTCTAAAATGCAGTCGTTATTGCACTTACCCTTAGATGGCCTTTTTATTGCATTACCCCTAAGTCCATGAACCCAAGGTGCCTCCATTGTTGCCTAACCTATATCATGCCCGAGCTCTCCGAGTTTATGAAATTAATCGCTAATGGTACAAATGATTATTTACATCTGTTCGATTTGCAGTTGGGAACTCTCTACCTTCTCTCTGATGGCAGCGATTCAAGTCTTCAAGTGTGAAGACTGTGGGAGGGGTCGTTACCTTCCTGCCTCATTTTTTAACAGTCTTTTAAAAAAATTGCTGCAGTGAAGTAGTTGGAACGCAAATTATTTTAGCTGATCTCTTTGCCAAGGTAGAGATCTGTGATTTCAGTTTGACCTATTGGGGTTCCTGTCCATATTATAATGAATACCCAGCAGGATACGATAGGATTTCGTTGGTATTAATAATAATAATAATAATAATAATAATAATAATAGATTTTATTTATAACGCACACAAACTGTATACATTGGTTGCAACTCATCTAAAAACAAATAACGTTAGGTGGCGTTTAATGCGTAAGTTTGGCTTTGGATCAAGATCACAGTATGTTCATGTCACTGTGGTTGGTCTGTGAGTGTGGTTGGTCTGTGAGTGTGGCTGGTCTGTGAGTGTGGCTGGTCTGTCTGTGTGGCTGGTCTGTCTGTAAGGTTGGTCTGTTGGTGTGGTTGGTCTGTCATTGTGGTTAGTCTCAGTGTGGTTGGTCTGTCATTGTGGTTAGTCTCAGTGTGGTTGGTCTGTCATTGTGGTTAGTCTCAGTGTGGTTGGTCTGTCATTGTGGTTAGTCTCAGTGTGGTTGGTAGTTTGGCGGTTGTGGCTCACTCTGCTCTCTCCTACACAGGCTCCGCTCAGAGAGGCCTGAGCAGCCGCGGCCTCAGAGACCTGTTCAGGAGCTACGTGGAGATGTTGGTGAGCACGGCCCTGGACCCAGACATGATCCAAGCCCTGGAGGACACGGACGGTGAGCCACACACACAATAATAATGTTGTGTGTTCAGTAGTGGGATATTTTGCGATGCCTGTGATGTTTAGATGCTAGCGTTTTCTCTCCCTTTGAAATAATAGAATTTGAAAGTGGTTTTTCCGGGTATCGGTACTTTAGTGTATACTACCTTTAGTGACACTGTGGCTGAGTCGATAGCTCTCCTGGGTTTGTATGTTCTCCCCGTGTCTGCGTAGGTTTCCTCCGGGTGCTCCGTTGAAGGGATGGTGTTGGTTGAATGCTCCAGTGTGTTCGGCGTCTCACTATTCGAAAACTTTCTGATTTCTGAACATTGTAAAGCACTTTGGGTGACCTTGGTCTGCAAAATGCGCTATATAGATAAACATTACTTACATACTACTTACCTATATTCAATCAAAATATCTGAACTTTTCAAACATGAACATTTCAAAATAGTTTAGTTATTGTGCAAACAGCTGCAAACAGAAATTAACCACATAAAGAAACAGAAAAAGTAACAAAGATCAGAAATGTACACAAGCTGAGTAATTTTACTTCCAAAACTAAAAGCCGTCAAATTGACTGCTATGGGAGTTCTAATGTTAAGTACTGACCCAGTAGTATTTTTGCCACCTCTGCACTGGAGACATCCTGACTCCATGTCCCATGTTTCCCCCAGATGAGCTGTACCTGCCCTCCATGAGGCAGATCGACGGCCTGCTCAGCGGACAGAAGCGGAGGCTGCTGCTGCGGGTCAACATGTCTGTCCCCCACCAGGTCTGGCTCTGAAAACATGTATACTGAGACAGGAAAGGTCTGGGTCTGCATGTATACTGAGACTAGAGAGGTCTGGGTCTGCATGTATACTGAGACAGGAGAGGTCTGGGTCTGCATGTATACTGAGACAGAGAGGTCTGAGTCTGCATGTATACTGAGACAGAGAGGTCTGAGTCTGCATGTATACTGAGACTAGAGAGGTCTGAGTCTGCATGTATACTGAGACAGAGAGGTCTGAGTCTGCATGTATACTGAGGTAAGAGAGGTCTGAGTCTGCATGTATACTGAGACTAGAGAGGTCTGAGTCTGCATGTATACTGAGGTAAGAGAGGTCTGAGTCTGCATGTATACTGAGACAAGAGAGGTCTGAGTCTGCATGTATACTGAGACAAGAGAGGTCTGAGTCTGCATGTATACTGAGACAGAGTTCCTGTCTTCTTCCAGGAGGCTCTGCACGTCTTCCCCAAGCTGGCTGCTGACCCTCTGGACTGTGGGGCCGTGAGGGTCAGCCTGAGTGGTGAAGGATACAACCGCAAGACCCTGAACCGCACCAAGAGACGCACCTCCAAACAGCAGGTCAGCTTTTACACATGGCACAGACTGTAAAGATCAGTCTGTCCCTGAAGCTGCCCTCCGGAGCAGAGAGAGTGTCCTGCAGGGGGCGACAGTCATGGTCCAGCAAAGATGTTAGTTTCTCCAGGACCCATCCTGCTGCTCTGTTGGATTGGCTGCTCCGTCCATTTTGATATAACTACTGGCACAAGCACATCCCCCCTCCCCTTCTGTCTGAATGCTCTGTTATAACTTTTTCAAGAGACATTTTTAACAAAGAAAATGGGGCTCTGGCTGCCATGTAGGAAATCACACATTGTTTTCTCGGCTGTTGCTCACAAGTGGTTCCGGTGAAGAAGGTTCTAAAACCAAACACACGTCACACAATTGACAATACTTGAATAACGAGTTGTGTACAGAGATCAAAGCTGTTGCACGTGCTGCTCTTTCCTTCATAAAGTCGTCCTTTTAAAACATATTTGGATGTTGTTTTTATATCTCCTTGAGGATGAGAAGCCGTAGTCTATTATAATTCCCTCTGGTGCTGGGTGCGATGAACTCAGACTCATTTTGAAAGGGAGAAGTTTGTTTTGACCCTTTTGTTTCAACATATTGTATACCTGTCCATGCTGTGGTATAAAGCAGCACAAGTCTAAACAACACACAAACCATTCCCACTTGTTGTCCCGGGTCCACACAGCATTTGAACACGGCTCACAAAACACAGGTCTGCAGTATGAAATCAGCCTTTTATTACATTGTGCCATTTTGAGGCAGCTCGAGAACCTCTACCTCACATTCTCGTCATCTCTTACTACATTTCTAACCACGTGTGTGTGTGTGTGTGTGTGTGTGTGTGTGCGCGTGCAGGAGCTGCAGTTGTCTGTGGAAACCTGTCGGATCTACTCCTTGTACCACGCCCTTCACCACTACAAATACCACACGTTTCTGCGCTGCAAGAAGGAGGTGAGTCACGTCAGTAGTAGCAGTAGTAGTAGTAGTAGTAGTAGTAGTAGTAGATATTTCTTCCTTCTCCAGTTCAACATTCAGGGCCCGCATAATATGAACTCCACAGCAATATAAGGCAGCAATAATCTGAAGAATCTTTGCATGATACAACTGTTGTAGTGTTTTAGTTAATTATTGCGAATAATCACAATTTGTGGAAAACCATTGGTACAACACAGTGAAAAGTGTTTTATCTTGAAATCATTTCGACTCCTACAATAGCATGTTGAAGAACCACAGCCGTAGGCCCTTTACCCAGAGACCCTGCAGGGGGTACAGTATGAGAGAATGGTCTATTGACTCTATTGATGAGGACTGCATTTCTGATCTATAGTGGCCCCTAATGGCAGTGAACATGCACTGGATCCAAAAGCCTTTAACGATCAAGGAAGTCTCAGCTTCTGAAGCAAAAACCAACGACCAGGAAAAGGTTAAGTCTGAATAGTGAGTTAAGAAGGAGCCTGTATGGTTCCTTTCATGGCTCCTTTCATGGCTCCTTTAGCAGGCTGTAGGCGAGGTCAGAGCTAAGGTCCTGTTTGGACGGAGACGCTGCGGAGACGCTGCAAAGCAATTAGCAAACTGACCGGGCTCCTTGTTCGAAGTGCACAGCGTCTACGCAACGACGGAAAACGATGGAGTTCTAGCGCCCGGCCAGTAGGGGACATTGGAACTTTACAACGCGGTACACGCGACCCTCAGCAGTAGAACCACTTCCTCAACAACATCCTCCTCAGGCCGCCGCAAAGATGGGAAAGAACCAACATAATTCTTTAACAGCAGCAGTGGAAATGGAAAGTGAAACTTTTTGTGGCTCCTAAAGTGACTTTCATCATTTATGGGAATGAGCCTCCATGTTATACATCTATACATCTGTTTTCTCAGGAAAACAACTACATTTAATCTTTTTCTAAAATAAGAGTGAAACTCATGACAAAATACCTTCATAATGTAAAAAACAATTAAGAGAAAAGAACATTTCTGACCAGTTCATTTTTTTTCATTTCTCTACACCTCTTGTAGAGAAACTCTCCTATTCAGAACAGATCAAATGTAACGTAATCCCTGCTGGTTTAGATTGTCAGGCTCATGATGATGAAAAGATGTTCTTGGACGTAGCTGAAGACCTGCCTCTAGTTTCTCTAAAGTGCGACGGTGTGTCCATCTGAAAATGTTCTTTTGTCCAACGTAGTGTCTGCTTCTGTTTCAGCTTCAGTCGTCTTCTACCAGAAAAACTCAGAACTCAAAATTCACAATTACATTTTGGGTTAAAATGCAACATAAAGCACATTACTGACCTTTGTGCCAAGAGTCAATATTACCCAGTTTTTTTGGGAATACCTTACGTACGGTCTTCAAAATGATATAAAATATAACTCTAGTAAAAGCTTCATCATGATTGTGAGGACAAAAAATGACATAAAATCTGTATTTCCTGCATTCTCCCTATGTGGTAATGCTCTAAATGTCAGTGAGGAGGTAAAGTACCTTGGCCATTACATATGCAGTGACCTCACAGACGACCGGGATATACACAGACAGAGATGTAAACTGTATGGCCAATCCAACATGCTGGTCAGAAAGTTTAACATGTGCTCTGTGAATGTTAAAACCTCCCTGTTCCAATCTTTTTGTGCTCCCTTATACACAGCCCAACTATGGCGGAGCTATAAGCAGGCCAGTTTGCAGAAGTTAACTGTTGCCTATAATGACTCGATGAGGATGCTGTTGAAGATCCCCAGACACAGTAGTGTGAGTCAGATGTTTGCTGAGTGCAGGGTGCGCTCCTTTCCTGCTGCCCTACGTCACTGCTACTATCGGTTTATGTGTAGAGTGGTGAGGGTGCCTAATGCTATTGTACAGTCACTGGTTTGTCCTTACATTAGCTCAGTCAGGTTCACTTCTTTGCTCTGGAGTCACTGGCGTGCTTCTCTGTATGTGTGACTTGGTCTAAATATGTGAATATGTGATTACTATGTGTGTTTTAACTCTGTTCTGTTATTTTTAAAACTTTTCTTTAATTATTCTTAGCTATGGATCCTGTGCTTGCATGTGAGTCCTTAATAAAGTATAAATAAAATAAAATACTGCGTAATTTACTGCGTAAAGCAGTACATGAAAATAATTACATAACTTTTGTAATGTATTACATTACTTTTACTTAGTCTGTCAACCTGTTTGCCTTCCTCTCATGCAGACCGTGAGCATGGAGCAGGCCTCAGACGAGGAGGACCCGGGCCAGGAGGAGGTGGTGCAGCGCTGCATGGCCAACCACAGCTGGATCGACAAGCTCTTCGGCTCCTTCATGGAACTGCTCAGCCTCAGCGCCAAGGCCTGAGCCCCTGCGGAGGTGGGGGGCCGAGGACTGCTCTGGGGACTGCTCTGTGGAGGGCGGTGCAGAGACACCGGGCCCACTGTGGACCAAGCATCAGCTGCAGAGGGACAGCCAAACATCAGAACTTCACTTGTCACAGAAGAGGCCAAAACAACGGAGCCGAGAAAAGGCGTGTATTAAGTTCTCAGAGTGTTTATGGACCCAGGCCCGTCACTGAAAGATACAGTCTCAAACATAAATACCATTTACAGGATGTGAAACATTGGCTTTAAATAGACGTATCACTCAGAAATATGGACACAAAAACAGCAGAAATTAATGAAATACCTTCCAAAGGAAAACTGCAAACATTTGTGCTCTTGCTGAGAAATGGGCAGTAAATACTGAGCCAGATGATATTCATATTCATCAGTGAACGGTCTGCGGTCGTGGTGGCAGGTCTGGGTGGACGGTACAGCTGCTGTGGGCTTTGAGGTGCTAATAGTCCTGCTGCCTCTGGTTCTAGTGGCGGCTTCTCTTCCAAACAGAAGCTTTTTCTAAATAACGTGCCAACGAAAACATGACACAAAAGCATCAAGTGTCTCCTTTAACAACATGAGGTCAGTGCAGGGTCCAGTGGGAGACCACACCAGACCTGTGGTCAGACCAGACCAGACCAGACCAGACCTGTGGTCAGACCAGACCAGACCAGACCTGTGGTCAGACCAGACCAGACTAGACCTGTGGTCAGACCAGACCAGACCCATGCTTTTGTTCCTCCCAGACACAGATTTATGGTCAGACCACAGGCCTGTGCTTTATGTGGAGGTGTTCAGTAATGTTCCAAACAGGTTTTCATCTCCTCCTTCTTGGATGGAAGAAAACCTGTCGCCTCTACAGCAGTGTTCCCCAACCTTTGGGACAAAAAACACATGAAAATCACACAATCTGAAACATACAAAGATGAAGTCTGCAGCCTTTATGAACAATGAAAGTCTGTATGAAACAGAAAATCAAACAAAGCATTCTTTTCATTTCACATTATTTTGACCAATCGGGGATATCGGACCATTTCCAAAGGCACAATAAACAACATCATAAGGCACAACGTGCCACGGCCCAGTGGTTGGAAAACACTGCCTATGCTCTTTTTGGAACAAGTACAAGACCACATTGGACACCCTGCTGTATGGTCTAAGATCTAGTCTCTGGTCTCTAGTCTATGGTCTCTAGTCTCTGGTCTCTAGTCTCTGGTCTATAGTCTACAGTCTCTGGTCTATAGTCTCTGTGACTTGTGAGTGTATACGTGTGTGTCTGTATGTGTGTTTGTGTGTGTGTGTGTGTGCGCGCACGTATCTGTGCGTGTGTCTGTATGTGTGTGTTTGTGTGTGTGCGTCTGGTCTATAGTCTATAGTCTCTGGTCTCTGGTCTGTAGTCTGTGATCTCTGGTCTGCGGTACAGTCTCTGGTCTATAGTCTATAGTCTATAGTCTCTGGTCTCTGGTCTATAGTATATGGTCTATAGTCTCTGGTCTCTGGTCTATAGTCTCTGGTCTGCGGTCTACAGTCTCTGGTCTATAGTCTATGGTCTATAGTCTCTGGTCTGCGGTCTACAGTCTCTGGTCTATAGTCTATGGTCTATAGTCTCTGGTCTGCGGTCTACAGTCTCTGGTCTATAGTCTATAGTCTATAGTCTCTGGTCTGCGGTCTACAGTCTCTGGTCTATAGTCTATAGTCTATAGTCTCTGGTCTCTGGTCTATAGTCTATGGTCTATAGTCTCTGGTCTCTGGTCTATAGTCTATGGTCTATAGTCTATAGTCTCTGGTCTGCGGTCTACAGTCTCTGGTCTATAGTCTATAGTCTATAGTCTCTGGTCTGCGGTCTACAGTCTCTGGTCTATAGTCTATGGTCTATAGTCTCTGGTCTCTGGTCTGTAGTCTGTGGTCTCTGGTCTATAGTCTATGGTCTATAGTCTCTGGTCTCTGGTCTGTAGTCTGTGGTCTCTGGTCTATAGTCTATGGTCTATAGTCTCTGGTCTCTGGTCTGCGATCTATAGTCTCTGGTCTATAGGGTCTGGTCTCTGTCTGTAGTCTCTGGTCTCTGGTCTGCGGTCTACCGTCTGGTCTGTCCTCCACAGAGAGTGCACACATGCAGGTAGCTCCTGTCGCCGTGGAAACAGCAGTGGAACCCTGGGAGCGCTGCTGAATGTCCGATCCTTCTGTACAAGTGGTTTTGTAAAAGCGTGTTTGGCTGAATTTCTATGTGATATGTTGAAATAATGACACTTTCATTTCATATTGGAAAATATTTATTTGCTTTTTATAAATAAAATGTTAGATGAACTTGTTTGAGCAGAACAGGCCTTTGGTCTGTGAGGGTTTGATCTACAGTTGTGTGTGTCAGTGCGTCGCAGTAAAAGTACTTAAGTACATGTTCTTCAGTACAGTTCACCATGAGTTCACTGAGGCTTTACGCTGTACATATGTAAATACTTCATTCTCTTTTCTGATGTAAAAACAATTTGACAAAAATAAAACTGACTTCATGACCATTTCATCTGATTGTAGCTGTTCGTTATTGACTTCAGAAGTGAACGACAAGTCCTGCAGCAACAGATACACACTCTGTGATACACACTCCGTGATACACACTCTGTCTCTGTGATACACACTCTGTGATACACACTCTATCTCTGTGATACACACTCTGTGACACACACTCTGTCTCTGTGATACACACTGTGTCTCTGTGATACACACTCTGTGATACACACTCTGTCTCCGTGATACACACTCTGTCTCTGTGATACACACTCTCTGACACACACTGTCTCTGTGATACACACTCTGTCTCTGTGATACACACTGTGTCTCTGTGATACACACTCTGTCTCTGTGATACACACTGTCTGTGATACACACTCTGTGTCTGTGATACACACTGTGTCTCTGTGACACACTCTGTCTCTGTGATACACACTCTGTCTCTGTGATACACACTGTGTCTTTGTGATACACACTCTGTCTCTTTAATACTGTCATTCCTACAGGTTACAAACACGTTACAGCCAGCAGAGGGCGCTGTGGACTAATGACATGTGGGACTCAAACACACGACTCCAAAGTACCGTTACTGGGGTAAAAGTACACGGACAATAATCTACGGTCTGGTTTAGTGCAACCGTTCAAATTTTATTGCTGCCATCTGAAAATGATAAAATGGGGCAATGGAGCCCTGACATCTGGGATGACTTGTGACGTGTGTGCGTGCGCGTGTATCTGTGCGTGTGCACGCCGCACGCTTGTGTGTTCATGAGTATGTTTGTGTGAGTTTATACGTGTGTGCGTATACGTGTGTCTCTGTGTGTGTGTGTCTATGTCTATGTGTGTACGTGTTTGTCTGTATGTGTCTGCATATGTGTGTGTGCATGTGCGTCTTTACGTGTACGTGAGTGTCTTTACGTGTATGTGTGTGTATGCGCGTGCATGTTTGTGTATGAGTCTGTCTGTGTATCTATATGTAAGCACAGTGTGCATCTATATGTCTGTGTGTGTGTATACGCGTGTCTATATGTGCATGTGTGCTTGCGCGTACATGTATTTATGTGTGTGTGCATGTGCTAGTGCGTGCGTGTGAGTGTGCGTGTGTGGGACTGCACAGAGGCGGAGGGCGGAGAGCAGTCTTCCAGAGAGAGGCCGGAGCTGCGGAGCTGAGGAACGGGGACGCGGAGGACAAAGGACCGCGCGGAACAGGACCTGGCGCTGGGACGGAGCTCCGGAGCTGCAGGTAGCGGGCATGTCGACGTCAGGAGGCGGCTTGGCTTGGGTCGTCTTTGTCGTGGATGTTTATGAACCTTTTTAAAGTCCATCTCATGCATTTACCGAGGACCAGGCCCCGCGCTATTATGATATGTTCTAACGGGACCAGGAGGCTGCAAACCCCGGGGTCGTACAGAGAAGGGACTTAAGTTTGTTATCTTATAAAGTCAACAGTGTGTAATGCTGTCTCCAGTTTATGGCCTTCAGGAAAGTGGAGGAAGTCTGAAAAACGTTATAAAGAAGACAGAATCTATACCAAAAAGTCTGTTTTGAGCCTCTAAAGCTTTTGTCTTTATAAATTGTAGGTTTTGCATGTTGTTGGATTAAGGTTAAGAAAAAAATCTCTAACTTTAGCAGAGCAAAGAAGCAAGTATAAAATCTCTAACTTTAGCATAATAAAGAAGCAAGTATAAAATCTCTAACTTTAGCATAATAAAGAAGCATGTTGAAAATCTCTAACTTTAGCATAATATAGTATAAAATCTCTAACTTTAGCATAATAAAGAAGAAAGTATGAAATCTCTAAGCCTCCAAAGTTATAAAAGTAAAATTCAAATCAAATCTAACCACATCCTGCGGTCTGCGTCTTATCAGGAAACATGATCTTTTGTGAGAAATTCAATTCAACTGGATGATATTTATTTGTTTACCGCACTAAATCACAACAGCAGTTATCTCGGGGGACTTTACAAAGCCGACGATTCGCCAAAACACAGATCAGAGAATCAAAGTTAAGTTTTAAAGTGTTCTTCCACTAAGACAAAGAGGGTAAAGAAGCTAGTTCATGTTTGGGCTGTAGACTCACGCCCCTCGCTGTGCTGTGGCCTGTAGACAAGTGAGTCCAAGTGTGAGCCAAGGTGAAGGCCCCCTCGTCTCCGTTTATGGTCTGTGGACTCTGCTTCCTCATTCCGATCGCCTCTCAAATGAAGCAGTGCTAGCTTCTTTATACATAAGACTGAATAAAGAAGAATGTTCAGTGTTTGTCTGTGTGTGTGTGTGTCTGTGATCAGTGTTTGTCAGTGTGTGTCTGTGTCAGTGTGTGTCAGTGTTTGTCTGTGTGTGTGTGTGTGTGTGTGTCAGTGTGTGTGCCAGTGTGTGTCAGTGTGTGTGTGTGTCTGTGATCAGTGTTTGTCAGTGTGTGTCTGTGTCTGTGTGTGTCAGTGTGTGTGCCAGTGTGTGTCTGTGTGTGTGTCAGTGTGCGTGCACTTGTTTTCAACTCCTGGTGGGTTCCATAACCTGAGATTCCACTCACGTCATGGGGACTAGTTTTACGTAGTGGGGCCCGAACACCGGACCCCACTGGTCCAAGCTTAATAATCAATGGGTAATGCTTTTCTAACGGTCCTTATGCAGTCTCTGTAAAAATATGGAAAGGACCCCTGGAGGTTTACTGTGTGTGTGTGTCTGTGTGTGCGTGTGTCAGTGTGTGTGTCTTTGTGTGTCAGTGTGTGTGTGTGTCAGTGTCTGTCAGTATGTGTCAGTGTGTGTGTGTGTGTGTGTGTGTCGGTGTGTGTCTGTGTGTGTCTGTGTGTGTGTGTGTGTGTGTGTGTGTGTGTCAGTGTGTGTGTATCAGTGTGTGTGTGTGTCAGTGTGTGTCCAGGGGAAAGGGTGAGGAGGTTTCCTTCCTCTCAGCTCTTATCACAGCTCAGTCACAGAAACTCTGCTTTTTCCTCTAACTACAGAAAACACAGCTTTAACTAAAGAACTAGTGTTATTGTCTCTTAAAGGTCTGTATTTTACTTTTCTTCATTTTTCACAGTCCGTCCTCAGCACATGTGTGATAATGATTTGGGTGATAAACCATACAACACTCAAACACAATGGAGGTGAAACACAGCTGCTTCTCTGCCTGTGCCCCCCCCCCCCCCCCCCAAACCCTCACCTGCTGTTTTGCTGTTTTGGTTTCTATCTCCTGTCAATCACCTACTGAAGGCGTGTAACCATGGATCTATAATAATAACTGGATAGGGTATCACTAGCTTACAGCTATCCCACCCATGGCCACAGGGGGCGCTGTGGTACTGCAGACTAAATTCACACGGGCTACCCAGAAAAATGTCCCATAGAACTCAATGTAAACTAAAACAGCTCCACCTCAGCTGACAGAGAACCTACAGCTTTCATAAAGATCGGATTTTGTGGAGATTTTAGTGTTTCTTGTCATCCTGAGGTTTTTTTCTTCTTAAATCCTTCGATTTTCTTTAAATCCACACTTTACTGCCACAAACTCTTCTCGTTTTCTTCCCGCTCTGACTCCGTTCTTCCGCTGCTCTGATGATCAGCTCTGATTGGTCAGAGCGCGGCCGAGCCCCTCTATGCACGTGCATGAGAGCCACACACGCATGTTTCGCGCAAAGCATCATGGGAGCTCATGCCCAAATATAGCCAAGTTCCTCTGATATGTCAGCGCCCGTGAAGTCCATGCGCTACTGAGCACAAGCCGTTCACTTGAATAGGGCGCCATCTTGGATCAGGGCTTGAACGTAACAAAGTGAATCAGGCCGTTTTGCTTCTTCTGGAGAATGAAAGAGAAACGTTGCTCTCTAACAAAAGCTTTAGGGATTTAATGAAAATACTAAGATACTACCCTGAGAAAATAGCAGTGTACGTTTAAAAAGTCAAAAAGCATAATATGGGATCTTTGAACTTGAACATGATCAATGAAATGTCATGTGCCCTGCAGTTTTGGCCTCTGAAGCTAAGCAGGGCAGGGCTTGGTTAGGACTGTGATGGGAGACCTCTGGGAACACCAGGTGCCACAGTGGGGCGGCTGCGGCTGTAAACTGAAGTTGTGTCCTTGAGCAAGACACGTCCCCCACATTAGAATGAGTGGTGTGTGTGTGTAAGGGGTTAGTGATGTCTGAGGGGCCAATGGCACATACTGGTTGCTTCGCTTCTGTCAGTGTGCCCTAGGGCAGATGTGGCTACAGTAGTTGTGTATGGAGTGAATCAATAATGACACGCCCAAAATAGTGCTATATAAAACTGATGCTGATCCTCCTCCTCGCATGATTGGACAGTTGAACTCTGGATCAAATTAAGTTTAGGGAGAGTCTTAGTTTATGGAGGGAGAGCAGAGAGAGGTAGAAGAAGGCAGGTCGGGTTTTGTTGTTGATGCAGGACCGGAGGGATCCTGACTGGAGCAGAGTGGTGTCGGGTTTTGAACCGATGAGATGAAATTCAGAAATCCCAAAAGGTTGAATTCAGCTTTGTTTTGATTCTGCACATTTACAGTCACTCGATGGTTCTATGTTTTTTCTTTTGGCTGAACAAAAAGAAGAAAAAAAAGAAAACGGCTCTGTCCATGACATCAGGGCCTTTTAAAGTGTGGAAAGCATGGTCTCGTTAAAACTATTTTACATATCTGTGCAATAATAATATGTAAAATATTGAATAAAGTTATGAATACTGTTTCTTTACCACTTTGTCCCCTTCCCTCATGCTGCTAACATGTCCAGATCTAAACACACTATTCTAATATACAGTATTGAGCGATGTAATGTTTTTCTTTTTGGATTATCTAAGATGTAGGAGCACTAATAACACAAATAATTAGTATTTATTGTTTTTTTTACATTGGGGTATTTGTAAAAGTGCCTAAAACCACGTGAGATGTCCCAAAGAAGAGATATACTTGATCTACCAAATGGTTTAGGAAAATTCACAGGGTTATTAAGCTAAAGTTAGAGATTTTATGTTATTTTAATATCAAGTTATTGTTCATTTATCTTGTGCTGTGTGCTCCTCATTCCTACTGTTCTGTAACTGCTGATGCAACACTGAAAACTCCTCTCTCTCCTTAATCTTGATCTTAAAACAAGTGTATAGACGTCATGGCTGTGGCTGCATCCCAATTCAAAAACACACACGTCCTCCATCGTCCTTGCGTGTGATATCAAACCTGAACCTGAACTTTTTATGCTTTTGGTCAAGTGAAAGAATGAAATGTAACAACTTTTAAACATGTTTTTAATGCCACTTAAAAGGTTAAACTCTGTGCCACAAATGTCATTAAAATGAGGAGGAAGCGCGAGGAAGGATGTTGTTGACGAGTCTTTTCTGCTGCAGGATGTCGGCGTGTGGGGGCTGTCTGTGCTGCGTCAAGTACCTCATGTTTGTTTTCAACCTGGTCTTCTGGGTGAGTCCCGGGACCGTCCTCCAGTCGCACATACTGTATCACCAACAACTGCAGTCCCTGGGATCAGTCCCCCCCCAAAGTCCCTGTGCTCACCTCTCACTGCATGTAGGGACTGTGGGACAGAATCTGGACTCAATGCATCAGATTTAGAATTTGAAATGGACCAGAATTCATCTATTTGAATTTAAACTGAATTTTTGATGACAGAAATAATCAAACAAGCTTTTCCAGGGCTAAAAATTTCCAAATGCAAAAATCCAAGCCCTATAGGGTGTATTCAGACCTGCACATTTTCTCCACTTTAAACAAACCAGGATTCGTTTGGAACTCTGATCCGAAGCTTTTATGCAAGTCTGAATACACACAAACGAATCCTGGTCCGGACCAAAGAACCGAACTGAGACCCACTTTTTTAGGTGGTCTCGGTCCGCTTCCAAACGAATTCTGGTCCAAGTCGAATCAGGTCTGAATACATCCTTAAATTCACCAAGTCATCTTTTCAAAGCCAGATGTAATTCAGTGCCATACAACTAAAATGCCACCCCTTCTTGTACAAGTTATTTAAAACATATACTGCCAAATACAAACGATTGTATCAACTTTTTGACAATCTTTTAAAATAGAGATATCTGTTTTTGCAAATCAACTCTTCTCTCTTGGATAAGTAAAACGGGCAGTTCAGGCAAAGCAGCCCTGGAATTTACTGAAACTGGAGTTAAGAAGATTGTGCAGCTTTAACCTCAGAGAAGATTACAAAAAAACGTCATGCACATATAGACTGCAAGCGTTCTTAGATATTAAAGGGGAGGTATGCGTACGTGCCACTGGGGTCTGGGGGATGGAGATTTCAGCTCACACTTACCCATGCCTCTCTGTGTGTGCGTCCAGCTGGGGGGCTGTGGGCTGTTCGGGGTGGGGGTGTGGCTCTCCTTCACCCAGGCCGAGTTCTCCTCCCTCCCCCTCTCCTTCCCCTCGCTCTCGGCCGCGAACCTGCTGCTGGTGGCGGGAGGCGTTACCATGGTGACGGGCTTTCTGGGATGTCTGGGAGCCCTGAAGGAGCAGCGCTGTCTCCTCTTCATGGTGAGCCGCTGTCCTACTCTACTCTACTCTACTCTACTCTACTCTACTCTACTCTACTCTACTCTACTCTACTCTACTCTACTCTACTCTACTCTACTCTGCTCTGCTCTGCTCTACTCTACTCTACTCTACTCTACTCTACTCTACTCTACTCTACTCTACTCTGCTCTGCTCTGCTCTGCTCTGCTCTACTCTACTCTACTCTACTCTACTCTACTCTACTCTACTCTACTCTACTCTACTCTATCCAATACCACTCTGCTCTACTCTACTCTGCTCTGCTCTGCTCTACTCTACTCTACCCACCCAATACAACTCAGCTCTGCTCTACTCTACTCTACTCTGCTCTACTCTACTCTACTCTACTCTACTCTACGCTACTCTACTCTACTCTACTCTACTCTACTCTACTCTGCTCTGCTCTACTCTACTCTACTCTACTCTACTCTACTCTACTCTACTCTACTCTACTCTACGCTACTCTACTCTACTCTACTCTACACAACTCTACTCTACTCTACTCTTCTCTACTCTGCTCTGCTCTGCTCTGCTCTACTCTGCTCTACTCTACTCTACTCTACACAACTCTACACTACACTACTCTACTCTACTCAACTCTGATCTACTCTACTCTACCCTACCCTACCCTACCCTACCCTACTCTACTCTACTCAGCTCTGCTCTGCTCTACTCTACTCTACTCTACTCTACTCTACTCTACTCTACTCTACTCTACTCTAATCTACTCTACTCTACTCTACTCTACTCTACTCTACTCTACACTACACTACACTACACTACACTACACTACACTACACTACACAACTCAACTCAACTCTGATCTACTCTACTCTACTCTACTCTACTCTACACTACACTACACTACACTACACTACACTACACTACACTACACTACACTACACAACTCAACTCAACTCTGATCTACTCTACTCTACTCTACCCTACCCTACCCTACCCTACCCTACCCTACCCTACTCTACTCTACTCTACTCTACTCTACCCTACTCTACTCTACTCTACTCTACTCTACTCTACTCTACTCTACTCTACTCTACTCTACTCTAATCAAATCTACTTTACTCAACACAACCAGGTAGAGTAGAGTACCTAATACGTCTTTACTCTGCCGCGTCCCTGGTCTTCTGTGATTCTGTTTTTGAAATGTTTTAGAGAAGAAAAAAAACATCCAGGGTCTTACAAAACTAACATTTATCTTGATTTGTCCTCATTTTGTTTTTAAAATTTGTTTTTAAATCTGTTTGTGTCCACAGTTCTTCATGATCCTTCTGGTGCTGGTTCTGACCGAGGCTGTGCTCATGCTGGTTATGCATCTGTACCAGGACCAGGTGAGACCAGGAGACCAGTGCTACACCCAGACCAGTGCTACACCCAGACCCCAGACCAGTGCTACACCCAGACCAGTGCTACACCCAGACCAGTGCTACACCCAGACCAGCGCTACACCCAGACCAGTGCATGCTTCTGTGGGGGAAACGTTGCCCCCTGCTGCTGGTCAGAGGGTTATAGATTTGTTGTTGACAAAACTCGTTGTTAGTCTTCCCCAGGTCCCCACACACTGGAGCTTGTTTTTTGGCCCATTCTTCTATCCAGATCTTCTCTAGCGCTGCAATGTTTTAGATGTGTTTATAATCTGAAAGGGACAACAGAGGGAGGGGCCAAAAAGCTCAGTCTGACATTTCTACTTTGTATGTTCATGAAAATACATCATCAAAATAGTGAACATAAAAGTATGTCCTTTCATTAAACTGTGTTTGTGTTTGTGTTTGTGTGTGTGTGTGTGTATGTGTAGCTGGACTCCCGGGCCCAGGACCAGCTGAGGGAGGGGATGCACAGGTACAAGAGTGACCCATCTCTGCAGACGTCCTGGGACAACGTTCAGAAGATGGTGAGGAGCATTCTGTCAATCACTGAGACCACACCTTTGACCTGCGACAATAAAGACGAAAAACAAAAAGAGGCCCGGGGTCCGTACAGAGGAGGCCCGGTCCCTCTGCTCTGAATCCTGGAGCTGGAACAGAAAGGTTCAGGACCTCAGAGACAGTACTGTGAAGTTCTCTGGAGGCCTTTAAAAGTAACAAGTCAAATCCTATAATCAGCCAAATGGAACCAGTGCAGCTCCAGTAACATCAGCGACATGTGTTCTGTGTTTTTAGTCTGCGTTCAAACTCTCACAGCTGCATTCTGAACAGGCAGGAGGCAGTGGATTGGTTATTGATGAAGACTATCTGTTAAAGCACACTGCAGTTTTCTAGAAGAAATAAAGCCAAAAGTGACAGCATCTGCCAAATCCTGCAAATATGATCTAAAATGATAAAAACATGTCTGGGATGAGGATCAGCTCCAAATCTGAGGCCATGGAGCGCGACTGGAAAACTGTGCCTTGTTCTCTTCTCCCTCCTCTTGGAGGAGTTCAAGAATCTCAGGTCTTGTTCATGAGTGAAGGATGGAGCATGGGAGACAGTCAGAGCTGTAGCAGACTGTTGTGGTGCAGAGGGAGCAGCGTCTGCAGTCAGAGCTGCATCCGACTGCTGTGGTTCTGAGGGAGCAGCATCTACCGACAAAGCTCTTGAGTTACCTCCCTCACCTCTGGTCATAAGCTTTGGGTAATAATGATTAATGCATTGGTTTTATACAGCGCTTCTTTACATGTCATTATTCTTTCACTCCATACACGGTGGTGATAAACTGCTGCTGTGGCCACAGCTGCCCTGGGGCACACTGACAGAAGCGAGGCAACCAGTCTGTGCCATCGGCCCCTCCGACCACCTCCAACCATTCACACAAGACTCATTCTAGACAATGGGAGTGAAGTGTCTTGCCTAAGGACACAACGGCAGTTTGGCACTTTACAGCCGCAGCCGCCCCACTGTGGCTGGTGTTCCCAGAGGTTAAGTGTCTTGCCCAAGGACACAACGGCAGTAGTCAGTGGGAGTCGATGGTGAAAGTCTTGAGTTGGGCTCGAACCCACAACCTTCTGGCTCAAAGGCCAACGCTCTACCAACTGAGATCGTGAATACAAACTCCACATGAGTTTCTTGCAGAGCCGCAGGGCGCTGCTTTAGAGATAGAGGGAGGAGCTTAGTTACGAGTGTGAGACCACGCCCCCTACAGGCCATGTGCATGTCTCCATCACATGTAGAGAAGATTTCTGAAGACGACCAGACTTCTAGAGCCAAAGCACAGGCCTGTCTAGTCCACAGGGCCAGGTGATGATAATAACTACTACTATCATCCATTTTCATGGATGTTTTCTTCTGACTTCTGAAATGCTTGGATATAATACAATTTAATTACATAAGTATGAATTCTCAGTTTTTATAATAATAATAATAATACATCGGTTTTATATAGTGCTTTTCAAAAACCCATATGTGTTTGCGTGTGTGTTCCAGTTTAAATGCTGTGGGGTGTCCAATAAGACGGACTGGTGGGACGTCCTGGAGGGGGCGCTGCCGGCCTCCTGCTGCTCCGTGGGCACTGACCCCTGTGTGGACGGCTGGCCTGAGGTGTGACATCACAATACTTATATAACATGCACTCACTAAAAACAGAACAATATAAGACATTGCAGAAAATGCAAACATTCAACTCAAATTTGAAGAATAAACAAAAAAGTACTTCCATTTGACCTTTTGAGAGGCAGATGTGAAAGATGCCGGAGGTCAAAGGACAGTGATGATCCAGGACATTTTAGGACATTTATGAACCAATGGCTCAATGTCTTTTTTATCTCTGCTTTTCCTGAGTTTGAACTGTTTGATTCTCTGATCTGTGTTGGCAAATTGACTTTTTTTTTTTAAATCCACCGTTAAAATTACTACTGTTGTAATTTAGAGCTATACAAAAATAATCTGGTTTGAAATTGAATTGAAGCTTAAATGGAGAGGGGGAAAAAAACAAAAACGCATGTACAGTGCCTTGCGAAAGTATTCGGCCCCTTTGAACCTTTCAACATTTCGCCACATTTCAGGCTTCAAACATAAAGATATAAAATTTTAATTTTTTGTCATGAATCAACAACAAGTGGGACACAACTGTGAAGTGGAATGAAATTTGTTGGATAATTTAAACTTTTTTAACAAATAAAAAACTGAAAAGTGGTGCGTGCAATATTATTGGTCCCCTTTACTTTCAGTGCAGCAAACTCACTCCAGAAGTTCAGTGAGGATCTTTGAATGATCCAATGTTGTCCTAAATGACTGATGATGATAAATAGAATGCACCTGTGTGTAATCAAGTCTCCGTATAAATGCACCTGCTCTTTGATAGTCTCAGGGTTCTGTTTAAAGCGCAGAGAGAACCATGAAGACAAAGGAACACACCAGGCAGGTCCGAGATACTGTTGTGGAGAAGTTTAAAGCCGGATTTTGATACAAAAAGATTTCCCAAAAGCAATTATATTGAAATGGAAGGAGTATCAGACCACTGCAAATCTACCAAGACCCGGCCGTTCCTCCAAACTTTCATCTCAAACAAGGAGAAGACTGATCAGAGATGCAGCCAAGAGGCCCATGATCACTCTGGATGAACTGCAGATAACTACAGCTGAGGTGGGGATGGTGTGTTCAGGGTGATGAGCTGTGTTGCTTTTACGCCAAACATATCGTTTTGAATTGTGGCCAAAAAGTTTGATTTTGGTTTCATCTGACCAGAGCACCTTCCTCCACATGTTTGGTGTGTTTCCCAGGTGGCTTGTGGCAAACTTTAAGATACTTTTTATGGATATCTTCTAGAAATGGCCACTCTTCCATAAAGGCCAGATTTGTGCAGTGCACGACTGATTGTTGTCCTATGGACAGACTCTCCCACCTCAGCTGTAGTTATCTGCAGTTCATCCAGAGTGATCATGGGCCTCTTGGCTGCATCTCTGATCAGTCTTCTCCTTGTTTGAGATGAAAGTTTGGAGGGACGGCCGGGTCTTGGTAGATTTGCAGTGGTCTGATACTCCTTCCATTTCAATATAATTGCTTGCACAGTGCTCCTTGAGATGTTTAAAGCTTGGGAAATCTTTTTGTATCCAAATCCGGCTTCAAACTTCTCCGCAACAGTATCTCGGACCTGCCTGGTGTGTTCCTTTGTCTTCATGGTTCTCTCTGCGCTTTAAACAGAACCCTGAGACTATCAAAGAGCAGGTGCATTTATACGGAGACTTGATTACACACAGGTGCATTCTATTTATCATCATCAGTCATTTAGGACAACATTGGATCATTCAAAGATCCTCACTGAACTTCTGGACTGAGTTTGCTGCACTGAAAGTAAAGGGGCCGAATAATATTGCACGCCCCACTTTTCAGTTTTTTATTTGTTAAAAAAGTTTAAAATATCCAATAAATTTCGTTCCACTTCACGATTGTGTCCCACTTGTTGTTGATTCATGACAAAAAAATAAAATGTTATATCTTTATGTTTGAAGCCTGAAATGTGGCGAAATGTTGAAAGGTTCAAGGTGGCCAAATACTTTCGCAAGGCACTGTATATTATTATATTATATATTATTTTCCCCATGTAGGCTCAGAAATGTCAATAATTGGATTTAAATATAGAACACACACACATATGTTCTGTGTTCTTTTTTTCCTCTCAAATGGTCTTGAAATGGTCTGAAAGCCTCGAAATGTTGTTGGAAGAGCTGGGACATGGGCAGGAGGGTTTTTCTTGTCAGAGGTACAAAAAAAACGTGTGTGTTGTGTGTGGGTGTATGTTGTGTATGTGTGTGTGTGTTGTGTGTGTGTGTGTATGTTGTGTATGTGTGTTGTGTGTGTATGTGTGTGTGTGTGTGTTGTGTGTGTATGTGTTGTGTGTGTCAGCCCTGTTATCAGAAAGCTCGACAGTGGCTCCTGGAGAACATCCCGTCTGTGCTGGTGTTCGGATTGTGCATCGGAGTGGTGCAGGTAACACACACTTATACACACACACACCCACACGCACACATGCACACACACATATATACACACATGCATACAAACATATATATATACACATAAATACACGCACACAGGGACCCACTCACACACACACAAGCACACATATATATACATACATACAAATACATGCATACAAACACACGCACACAGACATACACACACATATATATATATATACACACACACACACACGTACACACTATACACACGTTCACATCATCTTAATAAAATAGTAACAAATGCACAGTAATAATGCTGAGCCGCTGAAGCTGCATCAGCCCCGGTGTTAAGTTCTGGCCTTTCTTTGTGTCGCGATGAATGAGAAACATATTTGCTCTGAACACACCGTGGAAACTGCCCGGCAACCGAAATCAGAGGCTCCTGTGGTTCTGCGCTCTGATTGGCTACTCACTGTGAGGTGTAACACATAAGAGTACAATGTATCGTCACCAAGAGAATGATCAAAGTCATCACAAATATGTTGGAAAACTCACATTTATTTCCAAAATCTGTGCATTTGGCATCAATAGGAAGTCCAGTTATACAAAAGGCACATGTGTAAAACAAAAGGTTCAAATTATAACATTTTTCCACATTAAAATCACATCTCTCTGGTTTTAAAGTAAACAGAAAAGGAATAATTGTCCCTTTTTAATTGAACCAAGAGTGTAAAAAATGCACACAAGACAAAACAAAGTCTCTGTAACTCTCAGTGCTTCCTCCTGTGTGTGCAGATCATGGCGCTGGTCTTCTCTCTGCTCATGTACTGTCAGATCCGCTGTGCCGACAAAGACCTGGACTAAACCCGGACTACGCTTGGACCCAGTCAGACCCAGTCAGACCACAGTCCGTATACACAAGGAGACGTCGCCTTAGTAATACCACAGGTTCAGAGCAGCAACAGTATTAGACCGACGAGTCTGTTTTCGAAAGATTAAAGCCAGGCTAAAAAGTCCTAAAAAGGTGATATACGGGACTGGGCGGAGTTTAGCAAAGATTAGAAAAAGCCCAGTGCATTTGTAAGACACTAAGAAAAACTTTAGCCTCTTGTCATTTGTACATAGTCAGTGTTGGGGAGTAATAATGAATACATGTGTCGCCGTTACGTATTCAGAATACTATTTTCTAACTAGTAACTGTAACTGTGTCCCTTATAGTTACTACTTTAAAGTCTAGTATTTAGAAAACAGCTACTTTCTGAAAATCACAGGAATACATACTTTCTCACATTACGTTTTGAGGTTAAAAGAAGAAAAGAAAAACATTGGGATTTCTTAAAGATTCTTTTTTTTCCTGTTAAATCGCAGCTGCTGAACCACTTTGACTTGTTTTACACACAAAAAGAGTAATTATTCATACAAAATAATAATTAAAAGTATGAGTAAAAATATTCAAAATACAGGTACTCCTAAAGTAATGGAGTACTAAACATTATAGGTCATGTATTCAATATTCTACCCAACACTGCACGTGACTGACCAGCAAGAGCAAGAGAAAAATGTTTATTATCTGTGGTTGGGTTGTTTTGTTTGCGTTCCACAGTTGTGTGTGTGAAGCAAAATATTGTTCTGGACTTGCTCCTGAAGGTAAGGCTGCGGCCCCTGTTGGCTGTGGGGGCCCCTAGGTCACTACTAAGCCTTGATAATGGGTGGGACTGGCTCTGACACAATCACCTGTGAACCCATTTATAAAACTTTAAGCCAAATCGTTTAAACAAAATCGTTTTTCTGCCTGATTCACACATTTCTACAATTTCAAACTTGGAAAGTGTTGGATACATTACATTTGTGAACGTATGTGTGGTTCATAGACACGGCCCCGGGGCTAGATTCACTCTTCAACAAGAAATCCCACCAAAAAGCATCATAAGAATTGGATTATGGATAAAAAAAGGAGGCTGTGAGGGCCGTAGATCTCCCAGGGGCCCTGCTCTGTAGTCCCTTATATACGTCCTCTGTACTCACTGCCTTTGAATGTACATGTGTAATGTGTGTTAATAATATGTATTTTTATATATAGAGTGTCTCCATAGCAGCAGTATCAGTACACACTTGTTTGTTTGTATTTGTTTTTAAATAAACGGTTCGAACCCGCCTCCAAGGGCCGGGTCCAGCTACATCTCTGCTTTCGTTCAGCGGCTACAACCTTTACCAGAAAACCATTCTTTCAAGACAGTTATTAATAAAACAAAGTACATTACACATGTTTTTTAAACGTGAGGCCATTATATGAAAAGACATTTACAAAATAATTTAAATCATGAATACCGACATACTGTAGAGCTTCTTCCCTGATTCCAGACAATACTTAAATACGTATAAAAACGGCAAGATTACAGAGCGGTGCTGGACATTTAGAGAATCCGTCCATCACAGAACTAGTTTCACAAGTTTCATTGGACCAAGTTGTTCACACAGATTTAGTTTAGGCCCTTTGGTGATTTGCGATTATTGCGAAAAAAAAAAATAATAATAATCGAGGAAGGAGTCAGGTCTGCACTGGGCCTTACATACTCCATAAACCTCTTGTTATTTAACGTTCTGCCACAGTCTCAGGCGCCTCTTGCCTTAATGCTAGGAACCCGCCACATTTTCTTACAAAAGACAGACTTGACGAATGCCGCTCGGGGCTGTCCTTGTCGCTGAATGAAAAATATTTACTTTCTTGTGAGCTAAAGAAATGTGAGTAAGTGTCAGAGGTACAAAAAAAACGTGTGTGTTGTGTGTGGGTGTATGTTGTGTATGTGTGTGTGTGTTGTGTGTGTGTGTGTATGTTGTGTATGTGTGTTGTGTGTGTATGTGTGTGTGTGTGTGTTGTGTGTGTATGTGTTGTGTGTGTCAGCCCTGTTATCAGAAAGCTCGACAGTGGCTCCTGGAGAACATCCCGTCTGTGCTGGTGTTCGGATTGTGCATCGGAGTGGTGCAGGTAACACACACTTATACACACACACACCCACACGCACACATGCACACACACATATATACACACATGCATACAAACATATATATATACACATAAATACACGCACACAGGGACCCACTCACACACACACAAGCACACATATATATACATACATACAAATACATGCATACAAACACACGCACACAGACATACACACACATATATATATATATACACACACACACACACGTACACACTATACACACGTTCACATCATCTTAATAAAATAGTAACAAATGCACAGTAATAATGCTGAGCCGCTGAAGCTGCATCAGCCCCGGTGTTAAGTTCTGGCCTTTCTTTGTGTCGCGATGAATGAGAAACATATTTGCTCTGAACACACCGTGGAAACTGCCCGGCAACCGAAATCAGAGGCTCCTGTGGTTCTGCGCTCTGATTGGCTACTCACTGTGAGGTGAGTAGCGTACGAAACGACCGGGTTCTGGGCTTTAGAGCGAAGGATTCACACGTATGTACTGGAAAAGCTGAAGCTGGCTGGATGACACTGTGGAGAGAGGGGGGGGGGAGGGCCACTTGGCTTTGGGTGAAAGTTGCCCTGGTCCAGAGAACTTGTGTTACACCCTTAGAATCCTTTTGTTTCAACACTGCAAAAGTTTTAAGGCAGTCAAAATGGTCTCAAATGAAAATACGTTTTTGCCAATTTTAAGGAATTTTTGACTTATTCTTCATAACTTTTTGCAGTGAATTGAGACGTTAGACATTAGAGTCCACTTCAATAGATCCGTGTTTTCTCTGTCAGTAATAAATTAGCTCTAACCTGGTGGAGAACACTGTCCGTGAAGAGTCAGATAAAGTGGATTCTGGTTCTAGCAGCTCATACATCAGTTGAGTTCAGTTGCAAAAACAGTCTCTAGATATGAAAGAATTTACTTAAAGGTACACAGGAGGATTTTCTTTTTCCGGGTGGATCAAGACTATTGGTCCTAAATGTCAATAATTCTGGTGTCATGTGACCAGAGGCGTACGTACGTACTCGTCTGGCAAGATCAGAGATTTTTTTAGATTCTTTCACACGATGGCGCTGAAAGTCCAGAGCTCCTCCCACTGATGCTTCAGTCGCCAAGTTTCTACTCAAGGTAAAGTTTGGATTCTGTTTTGAGAAATCCATTTAAAATCACTTCCATTAAAAGGTAAGTATGTAATCGTTTATATTCTTGGGTTTCATTAAACTGGCCAGTAGGGGGCGAACGAGCAGAGGTGGGACAACTCAGTTCTGCTCCCATTGAAAACCATATAAAGTCTGATTTGGAGTCAAAGGCTCTCCTCCTGTGCGGTGTACGGTTGTTGGAACAGTCTTAATCGGGGACACTCAATTCAAAAAAAATATTTCTCAAAAGAGTCTTGATTTTGGGCATTTTTGGAAAGAAAAACAGAAGAAATTGCTGTGTTTCATTTGGGTGGCCTGCAGGGGGCGCTTATCTGGGAAAGCCTTGATCCACCGCCCGCCTCAATCCAGTGATTTTTTCAAAGGTTCCTCCTTTATATGAGACCACAGTTGGAACATGAACAAACTCTGGTCTTTCTCTCTATTTGTGCGGTTGCTACAAGTGTACACCGCACAAAAAGATGGCATTTTGACAGAGCTTCTTCTTCTACTATATCTCCGTGTATAAACCCGGCAGACTGCACCGCTAGGATACGTCACGTCCTGTCCTACGTTTGCCCTGACGTCAGATGAAACCCAAGAATAGCGCCTTTCACAGACCAGAGTCACAAAACACTTCAGAATTGTGTAGATTAGTCTCTCACTCCACACAGAGTGAGGTCAGTACAGGAGGCACAGAACTATTGTACATGTTTTTAGTGGTACGGGAAACCGGAGCACCTGGAGGAAACCTACTGGGAGAACATGCAAACTCCACTCAGAAAGGCCCTGCTCCGACCGGGATTCGAACCCAGTGCAGTAAAAAGCAGTGTTTCACTTTCCAGTAACAGTTATCTGCGTCTATATTGTCTGACATCGTGGAAAAAGTGCAAATCTTTTTGGAAAGTGACTTCTAAACAGAGCGTGCACGAGCCCAGTTCTCCTCGTGCACGCTCTCTTGCACACGTTTTAGAGTCAGAGTTCTCTCTCGGGAGCAGGGAAAACTTTTTCCAAAAAGTGTAGAGTGCGGTTCTTTCCTAAAATCCTCCAATGTGCCTTAAAGTAGAGATTTAACTTTATTTTGTCTGCAAAAATATGTAAAATATGAATGTAATGGCACTTATCTGTTTTTGCAAATGAACTGTTGGAGTGTCGCGTCTGCCGTAACACACCTGCCCTCACAGAGACACACCGTGACAGTCTCGCTGAGAGAAACTTGTAAACACGTCTCTGGAAAGTCCACGTCTGTAAGTCCAGATCCGGATCAGGTTTTTATGCCCGAGTCCGATCATCCACACACTCTTCCCCACAGTGAAGTAACACAGCCTTAAGTCAAATCACAGATGGTAGGTGTACGGACATTGGTGTCTGCAGTTTATGGACCGATGGCTCTATGTGTTTGTTATTGTTGTAGTTCCTGAGTTTGATTCTCTGATCCTCCGAGATAAAATACATTGAAAATTTGATATTTTAAATTGTCCGTTTTTTTTTTTTTAAAGGAGATTGTGATACGTCAGATTGGCTGGTTGTTCTCTAAAAACCTGGCATCCCTGCATTCGAACTTACAGACATGGACTTTAAGAGGAAGCTCAGTCTCTCACATCCGTCCACAGGAATAAATATGTATAAAGTTGATGTCTGCGTCAGTCGAACTCGTTCAGGTCCACCACGTTCTCCTGAAACACACACAAGTCTCACACAATTATCTTTATCATGCTAAAGTTAGAAGTTTTCTCTTTCTCATCTCTCTCTGGTCTCTCTTATCTTATCTCTCTTTGGTCTCTCTCTCTCTCTCTGGTCTCTCTCTTTGGTCTCTCTCTTTGGTCTCTCTCTCTCTAGTCTCTCTCTGGTCTCTCTCTGGTCTCTCTCTCTGGTCTCTCTCTCTGCTCTCTCTCTCTCTAGTATCTCTCTGGTCTCTCTCTGGTCTCTCTCTCTGGTCTCTCTCTCTGGTCTCTCTCTTTGGTCTCTCTCTTTGGTCTCTCTCTCTGGTCTCTCTCTCTGGTCTCCCTCTCTGGTCTCTCTCTCTGGTCTCTCTCTCTGCTCTCTCTCTCTCTAGTATCTCTCTTTGATCTCTCTCTCTGGTCTCTCTCTCTGGTCTCTCTCTCTGGTCTCTCTCTGGTCTCTCTCTGGTCTCTCTCTCTGGTCTCTCTCTCTGCTCTCTCTCTCTCTAGTCTCCCTCTGGTCTCAATCTCTGGCCGCTATCTGGTATCTCTCTCAGGCTGAGTGGAGAGCACTCTCGCCTCTCAGCAAGAAGGTCCTGGGTTTGAATCCCGGGCGGAGCGGGCTCTTTCTGAGTGGAGTTTGCATGTTCTCCCCGTGCTTGCGTAGGTTTCCTCCTGGTACTCCGGTTTCCCCTACCACTAAGACCAGCCAAGCCGAGCATCAATATCTGGAGATGGGTTCCCGGGCGCTGTTACCGGTGTCACTACCGGTGTCACTACCGGTCTTCCCTCTAGTCTCCCTCAGGTCTCCCTCAGGTCTCCCTCAGGTCTCCCTCAGGTCTCCCTCAGGTCTCCCTCAGGTCTCCCTCTGGTCTCTCTCTGGTCTCCCTCTGGTCTCCCTCTGGTCTCCCTTTGGTCTCCCTCTGGTCTTACCCATCCACCCTGGCGTTTGACCCAGGGGGCAAAGTACTTCTCCATGTAGCGCTCGTCGAATCCCTGCATGCGCTGGGCCCCGGTTGCCGTGACGATGCGGCGGGACACCTCCAGGAGCCGAGAGAAGGAAGCGTACGACAGACGAGACAAGCTGGAGCGCAGCAAGGGCTCTGACTCGATCTGAGACACACACAGACAGACACACACAGAGAGAGAGACACACACAGACAGACACACACCGAGACACACACACAGAGACAGACACATAGAGAGACAGACACAGAGAGACACACAGAGACAGAGACACACACAGAGAGACAGAGACACACACATAGACACACACAGAGAGACACACAGAGACAGAGACACACACATAGACAGACACACACACAGAGACAGACACATAGAGAGACAAACACAGAGAGACACAACACAGAGAGACACACAGAGACAGAGAGACACACACAGACAGACACACACAGAGAGACACACAGAGACAGAGAGACACACACAGACAGACACACACCGAGACACACACAGAGAGACAGACACAGAGAGAGAGACACACACAGACAGACACACACAGAGACACACACCGAGACGCACACACAGAGACAGACACAGATAGACACACAGAGACAGAGACACAAACACAGAGAGACAGACACAGAGAGACAGAAAGACACACACAGAGACACACAGAGAGAGAGACACACACACACACACAGAGACAAGAGACATACACAGAGAGAAACACACAGAGACAGAGACACAAAGACACATCACCAGAGACACATATGCACACAGAGATAGACACAGATACACATATACACACAAAGACACACACACAAACACACAGACACACACAGAGAGAGACACAGACACACACAAACGCAGACACACACACACACACGTTAGGCACATCTGAGACAGAGACCTCTGAAGCTAAGCAGGTCAGGGCCTGGTCAGTACTGTGATGAGAGACCTCTGGGAACAGCAGGTGCTACAGTGGGGCGGCTGTGGCTGTAAAGTGCTAAACTGTGGTTGTGTCCTTAGGCAAGACACTTCCCCCACATTAGAATGAGTCTGATGTGTGTGTGGACGGTTGGTTGTGGTGGGAGGGGCCCATGACACAGACTGGTTGCCTCTCTTCTGTCAGTGTGTCCCAGGGCAGCTGTGGCTACAGTAGTAGTGAATTATGAGTGTCCAGAAAAGTGCTAAATAAAACCGATGCATTATTACAATATCTGTAAATGACCTTCAACCAAGTGCAATTCTAGTCCCGGAGTTTGTTATCTTATTACTTACTATTTTATTATTTTAAATTGCATTTATTCTATTTGATCTATCATCTTAAACAATAGATCCTGATTGATGTGCGGAAGCCTCTGCGACACGGTGGCTGAGTGGTTAGCACTCTCGCTTCTCAGCAAGAAGGTCTTGGGTCGGAAAAGGGCCTCTCTGTATGGAGTTTACATGTGTGTGCATAGGTTTTCTCCAGGTGCTCCGGTTTCCCCTACCACTAAGACCAGCCAAGCCGAGCATCAATATCTGGAGATGGGTTCCCGGGCGCTGTTACCGGTGTCACTACCGGTGTCACTACCGGTCTTCCCTCAGGTCTTCCCTCTGGTCTTCCCTCAGGTCTCCCTCAGGTCTCCCTCAGGTCTCCCTCAGGTCTCCCTCAGGTCTCCCTCTGGTCTCTCTCTGGTCTCTCTCTGGTCTCTCTCTGGTCTCTCTCTGGTCTCCCTTTGGTCTCCCTCTGGTCTCCCTCAGGTCTCCCTCAGGTCTCCCTCAGGTCTCCCTCAGGTCTCCCTCTGGTCTCTCTCTGGTCTCCCTCTGGTCTCCCTCTGGTCTCCCTTTGGTCTCCCTCTGGTCTTACCCATCCACCCTGGCGTTTGACCCAGGGGGCAAAGTACTTCTCCATGTAGCGCTCGTCGAATCCCTGCATGCGCTGGGCCCCGGTTGCCGTGACGATGCGGCGGGACACCTCCAGGAGCCGAGAGAAGGAAGCGTACGACAGACGAGACAAGCTGGAGCGCAGCAAGGGCTCTGACTCGATCTGAGACACACACAGACAGACACACACAGAGACACACACACAGAGAGAGAGACACACAGACAGACACACACCGAGACACACACACAGAGACAGACACATAGAGAGACAGACACAGAGAGACACACAGAGACAGAGACACACACAGAGAGACAGAGACACACACATAGACACACACAGAGAGACACACAGAGACAGAGACACACACATAGACAGACACACAGAGACAGACACACACACCGAGACACACACACAGAGACAGACACATAGAGAGACAAACACAGAGAGGCAAACACAGAGAGACACACAGAGACAGAGAGACACACACAGACAGACACACACCGAGACACACACAGAGAGACAGACACAGAGAGACACACAGAGACAGAGAGACACACACAGACAGACACACACCGAGACACACACAGAGAGACAGACACAGAGAGAGAGACACACACAGACAGACACACACAGAGACACACACCGAGACGCACACACAGAGACAGACACAGAGAGACACACAGAGACAGAGACACAAACACAGAGAGACAGACACAGAGAGACAGAAAGACACACACAGAGAGAGAGACACACACACACACACAGAGACAAGAGACATACACAGAGAGAAACACACAGAGACAGAGACACAAAGACACATACCCAGAGACACATATGCACACAGAGATAGACACAGATACACATATACACACAAAGACACACACACAAACACACAGACACACACAGAGAGAGACACAGAAACACACAAACGCAGACACACACACACACGTTAGGCACATCTGAGACAGAGACCTCTGAAGCTAAGCAGGTCAGGGCCTGGTCAGTACTGTGATGAGAGACCTCTGGGAACAGCAGGTGCTACAGTGGGGCGGCTGTGGCTGTAAAGTGCTAAACTGTGGTTGTGTCCTTAGGCAAGACACTTCCCCCACATTAGAATGAGTCTGATGTGTGTGTGGATGGTTGGTGGTGGTGGGAGGGGCCCATGACACAGACTGGTTGCCTCTCTTCTGTCAGTGTGTCCCAGGGCAGCTGTGGCTACAGTAGTAGTGAATTATGATGTTAAGAGACTTTGAGTGTCCAGAAAAGTGCTAAATAAAACCGATGCATTATTACAATATCTGTAAATAACCTTCAACCAAGTGCAATTCTAGTCCCGGAGTTTGTTATCTTATTACTTACTATTTTATTATTTTAAATTGCATTTATTCTATTTGATCTATCATCTTAAACAATAGATCCTGATTGATGTGCGGAAGCCTCTGCGACACGGTGGCTGAGTGGTTAGCACTCTCGCTTCTCAGCAAGAAGGTCTTGGGTCGGAAAAGGGCCTCTCTGTATGGAGTTTACATGTGTGTGCATAGGTTTTCTCCAGGTGCTCCGGTTTCCCCTATCACTACCGACATGTACAATAGGTCTGAATGTAACAAGTGAGTGAATGGAGGGTGTTTGGTCGGAGGCTTTGATGGTCCAGTGTGTTCTGGTCTCACTTCTGTCGTCACCGTGTGGAGAGAATGGACTAAACTCTGAACTTTGTAAAGTGCTTTGGGGGAACTTAAAATGTGCAATATAAATAAGGATCATATATTTATCCTATTTCATACTTTTTATTCTGCTGTAATGAGCAACGATGACACTGACATTTCTCCACTGTGGGACGAAAAAGGACAATCCTACTACACACTACTTATGTTTAACAGTGTTACTAAAGGGTCTCACTCCTCCTTGTCTTTCCGGCTTACCCCCTCCCTGTCCCCGCCCCCTCTGTCCCCGCCCCCTCTGTCCCCGCCCCCTCTGTCCCCGCCCCCTCTGACAGCCACACTAGGCACTAGGCGGTCGGAGGTGCTCATCCCAAGAAAGAACACTGTGTCTATCTAACTTAACTGTCTGTGAAACTGTGTGTTATTGCTATATCTGCTGTTTCTGTTTGTCGCATGGCGCCGTAAAGATGGCGCCGTGGCAAGAGCTCTGGTGTGTGCCGTCTTCTCTGTCTGGTGCACACTAGGGTAGTCTTGCACAGTTTTTCCAATGTAGTTTTACTGCAAATGACAAATAAATGAATCTGAATCTGAGTTGTGTTTTGAGCGAGTGTTGAACCTTGGAGTTGATGGCGTCTCCCTCCAGAGTGATCGGAGTCACCAGCCGCTGCACCACTGCCTCTTTATCCACTGTAGCACAGGGACGAGTCAGTGAACACAGGGACAAGTCAGTGAACACAGGGACGAGTCAGTGAACACAGGTACAGGGACGAGTCAGTGAACACAGGTACGAGTCAGTGAACACAGGGACGAGTCAGTGAACACAGGGACGAGTCAGTGAACACAGGGACGAGTCAGTGAACACAGGGACGAGTCAGTGAACACAGGGACGGTTCAGTGAACACAGGGACGGTTCAGTGAACACACGTACAGGGACGAGTCAGTGAACACAGGGACGAGTCAGTGAACACAGGGACGAGTCAGTGAACACAGGGACGAGTCAGTGAACACAGGGACGAGTCAGTGAACACAGGTACGAGTCAGTGAACACAGGTACAGGGACGAGTCAGTGAACACAGGGACGAGTCAGTGAACACAGGGACAAGTCAGTGAACACAGGTACAGATAGTAAGTAAGTAAGTTTTATTTATATACCGCCTTTCACAGACCAGAGTCACAAAGCGGTTTACAATTGTTATTTTTGGGCACTTGTCCTCTCACTCCACACGGAGATGGGAGCGGGGTCGCCGAACAGGAGGCGCATGCCAGACCTATTGTACATATTTTTAGTGGTAGGGGAAACCGGAGTACCCGGAGGAAACCTACGCAGACACAGGGAGAACATGCAAACTCCACTCAGAAAGGCCCTGGTCCGGCCGGGATTCGAACCCAGAACCTTCTTGCTGAGAGGCGAGAGTGCTATCCAGGCTGAGTGGATACGAGAGGATAGGAGAGTGGCACTGATACGAGTCAGTGAACACAGGGACGAGTCAGGGAACACAGGTACAGGTACGAGTCAGTGAACACAGGGACGAGTCGGTGAACACAGGTACAGGGACGAGTCAGTGAACACAGGTACAGGTACGAGTCAGTGAACACAGGGACGAGTCAGGGAACACAGGTACAGGGACGAGTCAGTGAACACAGGTACAGGGACGAGTCAGTGAACACAGGGACGAGTCAGTGAACACAGGTACAGGTACGAGTCAGTGAACACAGGTACAGGGACGAGTCAGTGAACACAGGTACAGGGACGAGTCAGTGAACACAGGTACAGGGACGAGTCAGGGAACACAGGTACAGGGACGAGTCAGTGAACACAGGGACGAGTCAGTGAACACAGGGACGAGTCAGTGAACACAGGGACGAGTCAGTGAACACAGGGACAAGTCAGTGAACACAGGTACAGATACGAGTCAGTGAACACAGGGACGAGTCAGGGAACACAGGTACAGGTACGAGTCAGTGAACACAGGTACGAGTCAGTGAACACAGGGACAAGTCAGTGAACACAGGTACAGATACGAGTCAGTGAACACAGGGACGAGTCAGTGAACACAGGTACAGGGACGAGTCAGTGAACACAGGGACGAGTCAGTGAACACAGGGACAAGTCAGTGAACACAGGGACAAGTCAGTGAACACAGGGACAAGTCAGTGAACACAGGGACAAGTCAGTGAACACAGGGACAAGTCAGTGAACACAGGTACAGATACGAGTCAGTGAACACAGGTACGAGTCAGTGAACACAGGTACAGGGACGAGTCAGTGAACACAGGTACAGGGACGAGTCAGTGAACACAGGGACGAGTCAGTGAACACAGGGACGAGTCAGTGAACACAGGGACGAGTCAGTGAACACAGGGACGAGTCAGTGAACACAGGGACGAGTCAGTGAACACAGGTACGAGTCAGTGAACACAGGGACGAGTCAGTGAACACAGGGACGAGTCAGTGAACACAGGGACGAGTCAGTGAACACAGGGACGAGTCAGTGAACACAGGGACGGTTCAGTGAACACAGGGACGAGTCAGTGAACACAGGGACGGTTCAGTGAACACAGGTACAGGGACGAGTCGGTGAACACAGGGACGAGTCAGTGAACACAGGGACGAGTCAGTGAACACAGGGACGGTTCAGTGAACACAGGTACAGGGACGAGTCAGTGAACACAGGGACGAGTCAGTGAACACAGGTACGAGTCAGTGAACACAGGTACAGGGACGAGTCAGTGAACACAGGGACGAGTCAGTGAACACAGGGACAAGTCAGTGAACATAGGTACAGATACGAGTCAGTGAACACAGGGACGAGTCAGGGAACACAGGTACAGGTACGAGTCAGTGAACACAGGGACGAGTCGGTGAACACAGGTACAGGGACGAGTCAGTGAACACAGGGACGAGTCAGTGAACACAGGTACAGGTACGAGTCAGTGAACACAGGGACGAGTCAGGGAACACAGGTACAGGGACGAGTCAGTGAACACAGGTACACGTACGAGTCAGTGAACACAGGGACGAGTCAGGGAACACAGGTACAGGGACGAGTCAGTGAACACAGGTACAGGGACGAGTCAGTGAACACAGGGACGAGTCAGTGAACACAGGGACGAGTCAGTGAACACAGGGACAAGTCAGTGAACACAGGTACAGATACGAGTCAGTGAACACAGGGACGAGTCAGGGAACACAGGTACAGGTACGAGTCAGTGAACACAGGTACGAGTCAGTGAACACAGGGACAAGTCAGTGAACACAGGTACAGATACGAGTCAGTGAACACAGGGACGAGTCAGTGAACACAGGTACAGGGACGAGTCAGTGAACATAGGTACAGATACGAGTCAGTGAACACAGGGACGAGTCAGTGAACACAGGTACAGGGACGAGTCAGTGAACACAGGTACAGATACGAGTCAGTGAACACAGGGACGAGTTAGTGAACACAGGTACAGGTACGAGTCAGTGAACACAGGGACAGGTACGAGTCAGTGAACACAGGGACAGGTACGAGTCAGTGAACACAGGTACGAGTCAGTGAACACAGGTACAGGGACGAGTCAGTGAACACAGGGACGAGTCAGTGAACACAGGGACAAGTCAGTGAACACAGGTACAGATACGAGTCAGTGAACACAGGGACGAGTCAGTGAACACAGGGACGAGTCAGTGAACACAGGGACGAGTCAGTGAACACAGGTACAGGGACGAGTCAGTGAACACAGGTACAGGTACGAGTCAGTGAACACAGAGACAAGTCAGTGAACACAGGTACAGGGACGAGTCAGTGAACACAGGGACGAGTCAGTGAACACAGGTACAGGGACGAGTCAGTGAACACAGGTACAGATACGAGTCAGTGAACACAGGGACGAGTCAGTGAACACAGGGACAAGTCAGTGAACACAGGGACAAGTCAGTGAACACAGGTACAGGGAGGAGTCAGTGAACACAGGGACGAGTCAGTGAACACAGGTACAGATACGAGTCAGTGAACACAGGGACGAGTCAGTGAACACAGGGACGGTTCAGTGAACACAGGTACAGGGACGAGTCAGTGAACACAGGTACAGGGACGAGTCAGTGAACACAGGGACGAGTCAGTGAACACAGGGACAAGTCAGTGAACACAGGGACAAGTCAGTGAACACAGGTACAGATACGAGTCAGTGAACACAGGTACGAGTCAGTGAACACAGGGACGAGTCATCAAAAGACTGGCAAAGGTACGAGTCAGTGAACACAGGTACAGATATGGCTCTGGGATTTCTAGTAGTCTCAAAAATCAGCTCATCTTCAAATGTTGAGCTGGAGTATTTTTGTGAAGACAAATCTTTCTGTCTCTAAACTTGTTAAGTCAAACTCCAAAAGACTCTGCTGAGAGTGCAGCAGAAGTTGGTTCTATAAAGTATCCTTCACTCTGTGCTAACCTCGTCTGGCCTTATCCACTCGTAAACTCTGGTCCATGGTCATTTCCTACACGTCTGGGTCTGATCCTAGTGGCTGCAGTTTCCTCGGCTGAATCCCCTCTGACCAATCAGAGAGCGGGGGAGGCGGGTGTTGTAGGTCGGTGTCGGTGACGTCAAGAGTTTGTGCTGAATTTGCTGGTTGTGGTTTGTCGGAGAATGTGATAGTAAAATAATCTGTTCTGGTTCAATCCAAATATCAAGAAACTGAAGCCGGAGAAAGAAGAATGTTTAGAAAAAGTCATTGCTGCAAAGATGTGGTGTCTCTACTCCCCACGGGCTCCGTTAGTGGCAAAGGAGATGGCTGAAGCTAGGCTAATGCTAAAGCTAGGCTAATGCTAAAGCTAGGCTAATGCTAAATGCCTCTCTCACTCGGGCTCTTTATTACATACGTGACGGTCAGTGGGGGAGGGTCCCAGCTCAAAAGTGGCCAGAATGACGTGTGCTGACATGCTTGCAATACCACCCCGGGCCTGTGGGGGTGGACTCAGAAGTAGAATTAGCCAATGCTAACATATAGCATTGGCAGACCTCTAGAAAACGTCTTTACAGGATGGACCAAAAGCTGGCTCTTGGCCCAAAGCTCCGTTCCACATGTGTGTCAATGCTGAGGGGGGTGATTTGGTCCACTCTAGTTTAGTCGCTGTGAATTTTTGAAGTCTCTCGTTCAAATGAATGGAGTTGCGCCGGCTGACGCATGTGCAGATGCGTTTCACAATTTTCTTGTGGGCGGGACCACTCGCGGCCATTTTGGATTGCTCCAGTAGAGCACATTTTTTGACCCATTAGTTAGAGCGGCGGAGATAGGCGTGACTCTGTCCGTTAATAAATACAGTCTATGGTGACGGTAAACTCAGATCCAATCGTTTCAATCTGCAAAAGGAGTTAGCCCCTCCCACCTGTTAACGGAGACAATGGAGCAAATCCAGGCCTTAGTATGAAATAAAAATGTGTACGATGGTGTGGTGCGACCAGGCTGGGAGTGGACTTCAGAAAAATATACATACACACAGTAGACAGGGAACGGCTGACTGCTTATTGACGTGAGTTGATCCTGGGGGGTCTGTGGGTCTCGTACCTGGGGTGGGTCCTGGGGGGGTCTGTGGGTCTCGTACCTGGGGTGGGTCCTGGGGGGGTCTGTGGGTCTCGTACCTGGGGTGGGTCCTGGGGGGGTCTGTGGGTCTCGTGGAGGAGCCGGTTCTCGTGGAGGGGCTGGTTCTCGTGGAGGGGCTGGTTCTCGTGGAGGGGCCGGTTCCCGTGGTGGGGCCTTCTCTCTTGGCGGCGGCGGCGGCTCGGGGGACTGCTTCTTGATGCTGGTTTTGTTGTAGACGATCTGCTCCAGGCGCTCTGCCACCTCCTCGTAGAACTCTGGGGGGTGGTCTGCACAGCACATACTCCTGCTGGTCACTGTGGGTACTACAGCCCCCACACTGACACCAGCACATACTCCTGCTGGTCACTGTGGGTACTACAGCCCCCACACTAACACCAGCACATACTCCTGCTGGTCACTGTGGGTACTACAGCCCCCACACTAACACCAGCACATACTCCTGCTGGTCACTGTGGGTACTACAGCCCCCACACTGACACCAGCACATACTCCTGCTGGTCACTGTGGGTACTACAGCCCCCACACTGACACCAGCACATACTCCTGCTGGTCACTGTGGGTACTACAGCCCCCACACTGACACCAGCACATACTCCTGCTGGTCACTGTGGGTACTACAGCCCCCACACTGACACCAGCACATACTCCTGCTGGTCACTGTGGGTACTACAGCCCCCACACTGACACCAGCACAGGGAGGGGACTCTGGAAACAGCGTCAGACCAGAGAGAGACCAGAGAGAGACCAGAGAGAGACCAGAGAGAGACCAGAGAGAGACCAGAGAGAGACCAGAGAGAGACCAGAGAGAGACCAGTGAAGGGACAGATCTGGAAACAGTGGTCCACTTGCAAGTTACTTTCTGTTGTGAAATTATTACTGACGTTGAGTTTGGCTATTCTGCTTGATTGATTTGGACTGATTGTATTTCAGTTATCTGAAATACCAAATACCAAAAAATTTCAGCTTGGATTGAAACAAAACCAGACCAAATAGAAAGCAGGCTCTTGTAGACTGATTTACATGTTTTGTTTTTTGATACATTCTTCATAACTGTCTGTCTTAGAGATTAGCTTTAAAATTAGGTATAACAAAGCCTTCACTTTGACTCTCATTTATTTAAATTAATGGGACCATAGAGACCAAAGAGAGAGACCAAAGACCAGAGAGAGACCAGAGAATGGCTAGATAGAGACCAGAGAGACCAGAGAAAGACCAAAGAGAGAGACCAGAGAGAGACCAGAGAGAGACCAGAGAGAGACCAGAGAGACCAGAGAAAGACCAAAGAGAGACCAGAGAAAGACCAAAGAGAGAGACCAGAGAGAGACCAGAGAGAGAGACCAGAGAGAGACCAGAGAGAGAGACCAGAGAGAGAGACCAGAGAAAGACCAGAGAAAGACCAGAGAGAGAGACCAGAGAAAGACCAGAGAAGGACCAGAGAGAGAGACCAGAGAGAGACCAGAGAAAGACCAGAGAGAGACCAGAGAGAGACCAGAGAGAGACCAGAGAGAGACCAGAGAGAGACCAGAGAAAGACCAGAGAAAGACCAGAGAGAGAGACCAGAGAGAGACCAGAGAGATTCTCTGAGCAGTTTTTTCCGTTTTTAAACAAAAGTTTTTGCCCTTAATAAGTTTTGGATATGTCTCAGATGAAATGAGGGTCTTACTGGGGGAGATTGGGGGTTTCTCTGGGGCTCGGGGGAGGAGGGGAGGGAGAGGGAGGGTGCTGGGCCTCGCTGGGGGCGGGTCCTTCTGCTTGTCCTTCTCTTTGTCCAGTTTCTTCTTGAAGAACCGAGACAGTTGCCGCTTGATCTTTTTGGTGCTCATCTTCTTCTTCTTGTCAACGTCGTCTTCGTCCGACGAGGTCTGAGGAGAGGCCAGCTCCCCCTGGTGGACAAGAGGAAGACAGGCTTTGTTTGTCCAACAGGAGAAATGTCAGTGTTGCAACCAGTTACAGAGGAGGAGGAATGAGGAGCACACAGCACGTTTATGTAAGTATAAATCTGTGAACGTGTGTAAACTTGAACACTCTTGAACTTCTGTGTAAGAAACAGCCTGTGAATAATCCTGTACAGACTGGAGCTGAAGTACATCTGTCTGCGGTCAAAACATTTTACATGTCAACATTATCTCCCAGAACGACCAGGACATGTGTGTCTCACCTCCTGAGTGTGTGTTACAGCCTCCTGAGTGTGTGTTACAGCCTCCTGAGTGTGTGTTACAGCCTCCTGAGTGTGTGTCTCACCTCCTGAGTGTGTGTTACAGCCTCCTGAGTGTGTGTTACAGCCTCCTGAGTGTGTCTCACCTCCTGAGTGTGTGTCTCACCTCCTGAGTGTGTGTCTCACCTCCTGAGTGTGTGTTACAGCCTCCTGAGTGTGTGTCTCACCTCCTGAGTGTGTGTTACAGCCTCCTGAGTGTGTGTCTCACCTCCTGAGTGTGTGTCACCTCCTGAGTGTGTGTCACCTCCTGAGTGTGTGTTACAGCCTCCTGAGTGTGTGTCTCACCTCCTGAGTGTGTGTTACAGCCTCCTGAGTGTGTGTTACAGCCTCCTGAGTGTGTCTCACCTCCTGAGTGTGTGTCTCAACTCCTGAGTGTGTGTCTCACCTCCTGAGTGTGTGTTACAGCCTCCTGAGTGTGTGTCTCACCTCCTGAGTGTGTGTTACAGCCTCCTGAGTGTGTGTCTCACCTCCTGAGTGTGTGTCACCTCCTGAGTGTGTGTCACCTCCTGAGTGTGTGTTACAGCCTCCTGAGTGTGTGTCTCACCTCCTGAGTGTGTGTTACAGCCTCCTGAGTGTGTGTTACAGCCTCCTGAGTGTGTGTCTCACCTCCTGAGTGTGTGTTACAGCCTCCTGAGTGTGTGTCTCACCTCCTGAGTGTGTGTCACCTCCTGAGTGTGTGTCACCTCCTGAGTGTGTGTTACAGCCTTCTGAGTGTGTGTTACAGCCTCCTGAGTGTGTGTTACAGCCTCCTGAGTGTGTGTCTCACCTCCTGAGTGTGTGTTACAGCCTTCTGAGTGTGTGTCTCACCTCCTGAGTGTGTGTCTCACCTCCTGAGTGTGTGTTACAGCCTCCTGAGTGTGTGTCTCACCTCCTGAGTGTGTGTTACAGCCTCCTGAGTGTGTGTCTCACCTCCTGAGTGTGTGTTACAGCCTCCTGAGTGTGTGTTACAGCCTCCTGAGTGTGTGTTACAGCCTCCTGAGTGTGTGTCTCACCTAATGAGTGTGTGTCTCACCTCCTGAGTGTGTGTTACAGCCTTCTGAGTGTGTGTTACAGCCTCCTGAGTGTGTGTCTCACCTCCTGAGTGTGTGTTACAGCCTCCTGAGTGTGTCTCACCTCCTGAGTGTGTGTTACAGCCTCCTGAGTGTGTGTCTCACCTCCTGAGTGTGTGTCTCACCTCCTGAGTGTGTGTTACAGCCTTCTGAGTGTGTGTTACAGCCTTCTGAGTGTGTGTTACAGCCTTCTGAGTGTGTGTCTCACCTCCTGAGTGTGTGTCTCACCTCCTAAGTGTGTGTCTCACCTCCTGAGTGTGTGTTACAGCCTTCTGAGAGTGTGTCTCACCTCCTGAGTGTGTGTTACAGCCTTCTGAGTGTGTGTCTCACCTCCTGAGTGTGTGTCTCACCTCCTGAGTGTGTGTTACAGCCTTCTGAGTGTGTGTCTCACCTCCTGAGTGTGTGTTACAGCCTCCTGAGTGTGTGTCTCACCTCCTGAGTGTGTGTTACAGCCTCCTGTGTGTGTCTCACCTCCTGAGTGTGTGTCTCACCTCCTGAGTGTGTGTCTCACCTCCTGAGTGTGTGTTACAGCCTCCTGAGTGTGTGTCTCACCTCCTGAGTGTGTGTTACAGCCTCCTGAGTGTGTGTCTCACCTCCTGAGTGTGTGTTACAGCCTCCTGAGTGTGTGTCTCGCCTCCTGAGTGTGTGTTACAGCCTTCTGAGTGTGTGTCTCACCTCCTGAGTGTGTGTCTCACCTCCTGAGTGTGTGTCTCACCTCCTGAGTGTGTGTTACAGCCTTCTGAGTGTGTGTCTCACCTCCTGAGTGTGTGTTACAGCCTTCTGAGTGTGTGTCTCACCTCCTGAGTGTGTGTCTCACCTCCTGAGTGTGTGTCTCACCTCCTGAGTGTGTGTTACAGCCTTCTGAGTGTGTGTTACAGCCTTGTGAGTGTGTGTCTCACCTCCTGAGTGTGTGTTACAGCCTCCTGAGTGTGTGTCTCACCTCCTGAGTGTGTGTTACAGCCTCCTGAGTGTGTGTCTCACCTCCTGAGTGTGTGTTACAGCCTCCTGAGTGTGTGCACCTCCTGAGTGTGTGTCTCACCTCCTGAGTGTGTGTTACAGCCTTCTGAGTGTCTGTCTCACCTCCTGAGTGTGTATCTCACCTCCTGAGTGTGTGTCTCACCTCCTGAGTGTGTGTTACAGCCTTCTGAGAGTGTGTCTCACCTCCTGAGTGTGTGTTACAGCCTTCTGAGTGTGTGTCTCACCTCCTGAGTGTGTGTTACAGCCTCCTGAGTGTGTGTCTCACCTCCTGAGTGTGTGTTACAGCCTCCTGAGTGTGTGTCTCACCTCCTGAGTGTGTGTTACAGCCTCCTGAGTGTGTCTCACCTCCTGAGTGTGTGTCTCACCTCCTGAGTGTGTGTTACAGCCTCCTGAGTGTGTGTCTCACCTCCTGAGTGTGTGTTACAGCCTCCTGAGTGTGTGTCTCACCTCCTGAGTGTGTGTTACAGCCTCCTGAGTGTGTGTCTCACCTCCTGAGTGTGTGTTACAGCCTTCTGAGTGTGTGTCTCACCTCCTGAGTGTGTGTCTCACCTCCTGAGTGTGTGTTACAGCCTCCTGAGTGTGTCTCACCTCCTGAGTGTGTGTCTCACCTCCTGAGTGTGTGTCTCACCTCCTGAGTGTGTGTTACAGCCTCCTGAGAGTGTGTCTCACCTCCTGAGTGTGTGTTACAGCCTTCTGAGTGTGTGTCTCACCTCCTGAGTGTGTGTTACAGCCTCCTGAGTGTGTGTCTCACCTCCTGAGTGTGTGTTACAGCCTCCTGAGTGTGTGTCTCACCTCCTGAGTGTGTGTTACAGCCTCCTGAGTGTGTGTCTCACCTCCTGAGTGTGTGTCTCACCTCCTGAGTGTGTGTCTCTGAGTGTGTGAGTGTACCTCCTGAGTGTGTGTTACAGCCTCCTGAGTGTGTGTCTCACCTCCTGAGTGTGTGTTACAGCCTCCTGAGTGTGTGTCTCACCTCCTGAGTGTGTGTTACAGCCTTCTGAGTGTGTGTCTCACCTCCTGAGTGTGTGTTACAGCCTCCTGAGTGTGTGTCTCACCTCCTGAGTGTGTGTTCAGCCTCCTGAGTGTGTGTTCACCTCCTGAGTGTGTGTCACCTCCTGAGTGTGTGTCTCACCTCCTGAGTGTGTGTTACAGCCTCCTGAGTGTGTCTCACCTCCTGAGTGTGTGTTACACCTCCTGAGTGTGTGTCTCACCTCCTGAGTGTGTGTCTCACCTCCTGAGTGTGTGTCTCACCTCCTGAGTGTGTGTCTCACCTCCTGAGTGTGTGTTCAGCCTCCTGAGTGTGTGTGTTACAGCCTTTCTGAGTGTGTGTCTCACCTCCTGAGTGTGTGTTACAGCCTCTGAGTGTGTGTCTCACCTCCTGAGTGTGTGTTACAGCCTCCTGAGTGTGTGTCTCACCTCCTGAGTGTGTGTTACAGCCTCTGAGTGTGTGTCTCACCTCCTGAGTGTGTGTTTACAGCCTTCTGAGTGTGTGTCTCACCTCCTGAGTGTGTGTTACAGCCTCCTGAGTGTGTGTCTCACCTCCTGAGTGTGTGTTACAGCCTTCCTGAGTGTGTGTCTCAGCCTCCTGAGTGTGTGTTACACCTCCTGAGTGTGTGTCTCACCTCCTGAGTGTGTGTCTCACCTCCTGAGTGTGTGTTACAGCCTCCTGAGTGTGTGTCTCACCTCCTGAGTGTGTGTTACAGCCTCCTGAGTGTGTGTCTCACCTCCTGAGTGTGTGTTACAGCCTCCTGAGTGTGTGTCTCACCTCCTGAGTGTGTGTTACAGCCTTCTGAGTGTGTGTCTCACCTCCTGAGTGTGTGTCTCACCTCCTGAGTGTGTGTCTCACCTCCTGAGTGTGTGTTACAGCCTTCTGAGTGTGTGTCTCACCTCCTGAGTGTGTGTTACAGTGTGTCTCACCTCCTGAGTGTGTGTTACAGCCTTCTGAGTGTGTGTTACAGCCTCCTGAGTGTGTGTCTGAGTGTGTGTTACAGCCTCCTGAGTGTGTGTCTCACCTCCTGAGTGTGTGTTACAGCCTCCTGAGTGTGTGTCTCACCTCCTGAGTGTGGTTACAGCCTTCTGAGTGTGTGTCTCACCTCCTGAGTGTGTGTCTCACCTCCTGAGTGTGTGTTACAGCCTTCTGAGTGTGTGTCTACCCCTTGAGTGTGTGTCTCACCTCCTGAGTGTGTGTCTCACCTCCTGAGTGTGTGTTACAGCCTCTGAGTGAGTGTGTTACAGCCTTCTGAGTGTGTGTTCAGCTCCTGAGTGTGTGTTACAGCCTCTGAGTGTGTGATGTTCAGCCTTCCTGAGAGTGTGTTACAGCCTCCTGAGTGTGTGTCTCAGCCTCCTGAGTGTGTGTTACAGCCTCCTGAGTGTGTGTCTCAGCTCCTGAGTGTGTGTTACAGCCTTCTGAGTGTGTGTCTCACCTCCTGAGTGTGTGTCTCACCTCCTGAGTGTGTGTCTCACCTCCTGAGTGTGTGTCTCACCTCCTGAGTGTGTGTTACAGCCTCTGAGTGTGTGTCTCAGCCTCCTGAGTGTGTGTTACAGCCTCCTGAGTGTGTGTCTCACCTCCTGAGTGTGTGTTACAGCCTCCTGAGTGTGTGTCTCACCTCCTGAGTGTGTGTTACAGCCTCCTGAGTGTGTGTCTCACCTCCTGAGTGTGTGTCTCACCTCCTGAGTGTGTGTTACAGCCTCCTGAGTGTGTGTCTCACCTCCTGAGTGTGTGTCTCGCCTCCTGAGTGTGTGTCTCACCTCCTGAGTGTGTGTCTCACCTCCTGAGTGTGTGTCTCACCTCCTGAGTGTGTGTCTCACCTCCTGAGTGTGTGTTACAGCCTTCTGAGTGTGTGTTACAGCCTCCTGAGTGTGTGTCTCACCTCCTGAGTGTGTGTCACCTCCTGAGTGTGTGTCTCACCTCCTGAGTGTGTGTATTACAGCCTCCTGAGTGTGTGTCTCACCTCCTGAGTGTGTGTTACAGCCTCTGAGTGTGTGTTACAGCCTCCTGAGTGTGTGTCTCACCTCCTGAGTGTGTGTTACAGCCTCCTGAGTGTGTGTCTCACCTCCTGAGTGTGTGTCTCACCTCCTGAGTGTGTGTTACAGCCTCCTGAGTGTGTGTCTCACCTCCTGAGTGTGTGTTACAGCCTCCTGAGTGTGTGTTACAGCCTCCTGAGTGTGTGTCTCACCTCCTGAGTGTGTGTCTCACCTCCTGAGTGTGTGTCTCACCTCCTGAGTGTGTGTCTCACCTCCTTCTCCCGCTGCAGGCTCTTGCCTCGGGCTGAGACTTTGGGAGAGCGTGTTCCTTTCCGGGGGAGCTGTTTGAAGAAGTCCATGAAGCCATTCTTCTTGTCATCCCCAGAGCTCAGGTCCTCGGCCTGAGAGTCCAAGGTTCTGGTTTTGTGTCTGAGAAGAGGGAGACGAAGAGGAGCATGTCACGGACTCATCACAACAAACTCTGTTTCAGCCTCTTTGATTAGTCTTAAATCATTATAGACATTTAAAGTAAGAGAATATCAATGACTCCCACATGAATGGATCTGCTCTGATCTGCAGGACGTCCCACAGACCTGGAGGGCGGGCTGTCACGGCAGACCCCTCCCACCTGCACATGGACTATTCCAACACCTCCCACCTGCACATGGACTACTCCAACACCTCCCACCTGCACATGGACTATTCCAACACCTCCCACCTGCACATGGACTACTCCAACACCTCCCACCTGCACATGGACTACTCCAACACCTCCCATCTGCACATGGACTATTCCAACACCTCCCACCTGCACATGGACTACTCCAACACCTCCCACCTGCACATGGACTATTCCAACACCTCCCACCTGCACATGGACTACTCCAACACCTCCCATCTGCACATGGACTACTCCAACACCTCCCATCTGCACATGGACTACTCCAACACCTCCCACCTGCACATGGACTACTCCAACACCTCCCACCGGCCATGGACTATTGCAACACCTCCCACCTGCACATGGACTATTCCAACACCTCCCACCTGCACATGGACTACTCCAACACCTCCCATCTGCACATGGACTACTCCAACACCTCCCACCTGCACATGGACTACTCCAACACCTCCCACCTGCACATGGACTACTCCAACACCTCCCACCTGCACATGGACTCCATTCCAACACCTCCCACCTGCACATGGACTACTCCAACACCTCCCACCTGCACATGGACTACTCCAACACCTCCCACCTGCACATGGACTGTTCCAACACTTCCCACCTGCACATGGACTACTCCAACACCTCCCATCTGCACATGGACTACTCCAACACCTCCCACCTGCACATGGACTACTCCCACACCTCCCACCTGCACATGGACTACTCCAACACCTCCCACCTGCACATGGACTACTCCAACACCTCCCCACCTGCACATGGACCATTCCAACACCTCCCACCTGCACATGGACTACTCCAACACCTCCCACCTGCACATGGACTACTCCAACACCTCCCACCTGCACATGGACCATTCCAACACCTCCCACCTGCACATGGACTACTCCAACACCTCCCACCTGCACATGGACTGTGTCCAACACTTACTCCACTACTACTCCAACACCTCCCATCTGCACATGGACTACTCCAACACCTCCCACCTGCACATGGACTACTCCAACACCTCCCATCTGCACATGGACTACTCCAACACCTCCCATCTGCACATGGACTACTCCAACACCTCCCACCTGCACAATGGACTACTCCAACACCTCCCACCTGCACATGGACTACTCCAACACCTCCCACCTGCACATGGACTACTCCAACACCTCCCACATGCACATGGACCATTCCAACACCTCCCACCTGCACATGGACTACTCCAACACCTCCCACCTGCACATGGACTACTCCAACACCTCCCACCTGCACATGGACTATTCCAACACCTCCCACCTGCACATGGACTACTCCAACACCTCCCACCTGCACATGGACTATTCCAACACTCGGCGGCTCCGACCAGTCATAAAAACCACTGCAGTCAATCCCGGCCCTTTACAGTCGTCTCTTACCTCTGGACACTGACTGATAGTTTGCTCTGTTAATGTCTATAGTGTGTATTTATATTAGTTTCATTAAGATGTTTATACATGCCTCATGTCTTAATATCCATTCTTCACATTTGTATTTCTGTTTTGCACCACATAGATATAATAAAACGTCTGATTCTAATCTGAACAGTGGAGTGTAAAGTCCATTGAGCCTGATGTGCTACGTCCTCTCTCGAGTGTTGTACCTGTGCTTGTTGTGGTCGCGATACGCCCCCCCCACTCTGCCGGGGCGCTCTGTGTGGGGCATGGTGGCGGCGCGGTGGAGGAAGGCCTGCAGCACCAGTCGCGTCTCCTCCTTGGCCTCCAGCATGGACACGGAGGACACGGAGGACACGGAGGTCTCGGAGGTGGTGGACAGGAGGCGGCCCCCATTCTCCATGGCTCATCACTGCAGCACAAGATTCACAGTTTTCAGATTCAGATTCTTTTTTCTTTGCCATTTGCAGTAAAACCACATTAGAATACAAGTGCAGAAGTTCAGAATGTTTCTCCCTGATGTCACACCAGATTTCTATGTTATCAAATGTTTATGTCAGTGTTTTTCAACCAGTGGGCCGTGGCAAGTTAGTGTACCTAGAGATTATGTTTGGTGTGCCTTTGGAAATGACCCAATATCACTTTATTGGTCAAAATACGGGAAAATGAAAAGATGTGAAATGATTAGAAAGACCTTTTTAATCCTTTTTGACATTCTGTATAATGCAGTTTGAGGAGATTGACTTTATAGAGTTGATCAAGGCTAAAGAGTTTTGAGTTTGTATCAGTTTCAGCCGGTGCCATGTGAGGGTTCTCAATGAAAAAGTCGTGTCATGAAGGTAAAGGTGCAATTTAATTATCCCTGTAGGGCAAATCCTCCTCTGCATTTGACCCATCCTGATGCCACATCTGTCAGGAGCAGCTCCTGTAAAACCACACTGCTTCTGTGTGATAGCAGTCATATTGACTCCTGTCGAACCACTGCTACTGTGTTGGCAAATCAACGGCTTTGTAAAGTCCTCCCAGATAACTTATGTTAAGATTTAGGGACGAGACAAAACTATTTGGAATTTAATTGAATAAATTACTGCTATATTTGGTCGGCCTGACTTTAGAACACTTATACTGAGTGTGGGAAAATAGATTAGAGCCTATTTCCTGTCTTTCCTGAGGTAAAAAGCTGACACGGGTCCAAACAACTCGCAGAGCATTCACATTTCAATATCACACAACTCTCACGGACACGTGGGTTTTACCTGCGCCAAAGAGGTCACGCAATCTGCAAGGTCTATCCGATTTTTTGTTTATTAGTTCATCTCAACTCAAAAAGCGACATCTGCTTTTTCAGTGAATAAGAGAGGACCTCACACACTCAGCCCAAAGAGTGAAAAAGTGACTCACAAGGATCTGTCTTCTGCAAAATATAACATGTTTTCCAATAAAACTAAGACAGCAAGTTAAGTTTTTTTAACAACTTTGTTATGAGGCTAGCAGAAACAGAGGGCAAATGTATAGTGGGGGGTGACTTTAATCTTGTTTTGAACCCTGCTTTAGACCGAGCGTCACCCACGCTCCTCCTGTACTGGCGACCCCGCTCCCATCTCTGTGTGTATGGGGTGCCGATTGTAAAAATTCTGTTAAAATTTTTTAGCTGAACATTTTTCTACATTTAGCTCACTTTCCTCACATTTAGCACATTTTCCTCACATTTAAGACATATCTATATCTAAATATTATATCTATATCTAAATGTTAAATGTTATATCTAAATATTATATCTATATCTAAATATTATATCTAAATGTTAAATCTAAATGTTAAATCTAAATGTTAAATCTAAATGTTAAATCTAAATGTTAAATCTATATCTAAATGTTATATCTATATGTTATATCTATATCTAAATGTTATATCTATATCTAAATATTATATCTATATCTAAATGTTAAATGATATATCTAAATATTATATCTATATCTAAATGTTATATCTATATAACATTTAGATATATATAACAAAGACATATGGCGACTACAGAACCCTGTGATGAGAGACTATTCCTTTTACTCCAATGCTCAGTTGGTAGAGCATTGGCCTTCAGGCCTGAAGGTCGTGGGTTCAATTCCCACCTCTACACCTTCTCCACCGACTCCCACTGATGACTGCTGTCGTTGTGTCCTTGGGCAAGACACTTAACCCCACTTTGCCCAAAGCCCCCACTGAAAGATCAAGGCTATGCTCACACTCAGAGCTGTCCTCCTGTGGACTCACCACCTGCAGAGGGTCAGTGAGGGGCTGGTGCTATGAGACTTGGGTGGCATCTCTGATTGCCACCCCCCTGACCCAGGGATGGATGGATGGATGGATGGATGGATGGATGGATGGATGGATGGATTTACTTCACAAGCACTTGTTGAAAAAATTAGAACCTGCTCATATTTAGCAGCCACTATCTCAGACCATAATGCCATAAAGTTAGAAATTGATCTGCTCGAATCCGAACACCATCCTGGCAATTGGAGATTTTTTATTTCATCAAATTTATGAACACAAAAATAGACGATTACATAGAAACAAATATAAACACTGCCTCTCACTCAATTGTATGGGAAGCCCTTAAGGCAAATATGAGAGGTTACATCATTTCGTATATTTCACATAAAAACAAGCAAAAAAGAGAACGCATTACAGAGCTGGAAAATGAAATTAGAGCACTAGAACTTAACCATGCTCAAACTAAACAAACTGGAGCTCTCAGCGCTCTAAAGCAAAAACGTATTTTATATGATAATTTGTGTACAGGCAAAGCTGAGGCTGCAATGGCCAGAACCAAATATCATTATTATGAATATGGAAACAAAACCAGTAGATTGCTTGCATTACAACTTAAAAAAGAAGATGCTAGAAAACAAATCCATTGCATTCAAATTGATGACAGCTCTTAGAAGGGTCCAAGGATATAAACACTGAATTTAAAAGATACTATGAAACATTATACAAAACAGAGCAAACAAAGGAGAGTTCCAAGATAAAGGAATTTATGAGTAAACTTCCCCTCCCTAAACTGACCAGTGCAGACCGCGGTTTACTGGATATGGACATATCTGAAGAGGAAGTCTTCCTGGCAATGAAAAGTTTACAAAATGATAAGGCGCCAGGGCCAGATGGATACCCAATTGAATACTTCAAAACTTTTTCCAAAGAAATGATCAGGGAAGTGTAAGGCTCATAATTTTAAAGATATATATACTAAAAGTGGTTAAAAACAGCTAAAATATAATTCACAAAATTCATAAGTATTTTCAGTCGTTAAAACTAGACACCCTACTATTTTTTTAAATAGTAAACTGTTCATATGGATGAACGTGCAGCTAACTGTATTATGCAATACTTCGACGCGCCACAAGGGGGCGCATGAGCAACATTAGATAGGAGAAAGGACAGTACGGCAGAATAAACCCTGCCGTTGATGAGACAAGACGAACTCATTTGGTCTCCTGTTTTCCTTTCTCAGGTTTGTTAAATGTTTGCAGAAGCATATAAAATCAGCACTGTTGTTTTGGTTAAAACCTTGTAAATGGACTTGTGTAAATATCAACACGTTGACATGTTCTGAGGTGAATGGACAGATAGTAAACTGTTGGTAGTTGAATGCTAACATGCTAAGCTAGCGGAGATGTTCAAGCTAACTTACTGAGGAGGAATATTAGGCAGAATGTTCAAAGGTAAATGTCACTAGAGAAACAGTGTACACGCAGTAAGCATACAGAATGTAATAATATTTTTTTTGTCAAGGACAAGCGTATTTGTGGCAGGTTACTGTTTGAGAAGGGCCGCCATGTTAAAGGTTATAATGGTGTTATTACATGTTAAGCAAATCGAAATGCTTATCGTTTTCTTAGATTTTCTGGTGAGAACAGAAACATTAGAGGTTAATGCATTCATAGTTTTGATAGCTTTGCTATTTAATTGATTAAACGATGCATGTATAAATATGTTTAAAGTTGTAGAACGAGAATAAACCCTGCCGTTGATGAGACAAGACGAACTCATTTGGTCTCCTGTTTTCCTTTCTCAGGGTTTACAATTCTCACCCCTCTTGGGCTCAAGAGGGGCAACAGAAGCATTTAAGAGACAAGATCTTCCAAAGACATTAGAGCTTGCAACTGTAACAGTACTTCCTAAACCTGGAAAGGATGCGCAGAGCTGCAACAACTACAGACCCCTCAGTCTTCTTAATTCGGATTACAAAGTACTCTCCAAAATCATAGCGTTAAATTATTCATGCTGACCAGACTGGTTTTGTTAAAAACAGACAGGATGCGGACAATGTTAGGAGACTCTTGCATATTATTGACTATGCCCAAAAACAAAAAGAACAGACAGTGATCATATCAATGGATGCGGAGAAGGCCTTCGACAGGATAGAGCCATCCTTCCTGTTTGAGACCATGAGGTCGATGAATTTTGGTGACACTTTCCTAGGCTATATTAAAACTTTGTTCAATGCCCCCAGGTCTCGAATCCTGACGAATGGAGTTCTGTCGGAGGCCTTCTCCCTTTCAAGGGGCTGTAGCCAGGGGTGCCCCAGTTCTCCTGCTCTATTCTCTATCGCTATGGAACCACTGGCGATCTCTATACGCAACGACACTGCTATTATCGGTGTTGAAATAGGGGCGGAGAGGCATAAATTGTCCTTATATGCAGACGATTTGGTTGTCTTTGTCTCCAAACCAACCACGTCAATCCCTGCTCTTCTAACCAGTTTGAAAACATATAGTGCAGTTTCTGGCTACAAAATAAACTACACTAAAAGTGAAGCTTTCCCAATCAATCTAATGGTACAAGAATCACATTCTTTCCCATCCGATTTTAAATGGTGCCCAGATGGGTTTAAATATCTAGGCATTAATATCCGTACATCCCATGACAAAATGTTCAATGACAATTACATATTAATATTAAATAAATCAAAGTCAGAATTACAACGCTGGATGGATCTTCCTTTATCCCTAATGGGTAGGATTAATACAATCAAAATGAACCTACTGCCTAAATTTATCTATTTATTTCACTGTCTTCCAATTAGAATCCCAGTATCCTTTTTCAAAGACCTGGATAAAGCCATATCATCGTTCCTGTGGCACAAGAAAATACCTAGAGTAAAACTTCCCACTACAAGCTCCGCACTCCAAGGGTGGACAAATACTATTATTTAGCTGCGCAATTCCGAGCAATGTGGATCTGGCTCCACCCAAATGTGGAGGAGGTGAGATGGCTCTCCATAGAGCTGCACGAACTGCATCCCTTTTTGTTATCAATTATTCCCTTTTTGGGGACAAAGAAGAAATTGTTAGCTTTAACGCAAAACCAAATCATTATACATTTAAGGCATGGCAACAT